GCGCTTAATCACCACATTGCCATGGCCGACCTGTAGACACCTCCTCAGGATCGGGACGACCACCTTAGGATTGAGCTTGAGACCAATGTTTTAAATGCGGAGGCGTGACGCAAGGCGTTCCACTACCTAGAGACRTGAGGCATAGTTCAGAACGCAAGAGGCGTAAGCCTCCCAAACACAAGGAGGTATAAGCCTCCTTAAAAGGAGGGGGGTTAGGAGGAGGATGGAGAGGAAGGGGGATTTCATTTCTTCTTTATTTTTAAAAAAAAAATCTTTTAATTTAAGAAGAATAAAGATGCATAACATTTGTTGGGCTGCATCGAGAAGGGGGCGGGGGGGTCTAGGGGCTTCACCCCCCAGCTGAAGGGTCAGGGGCAAACCACTTTCTATCCCCTTATCTTTTCTTCCCTTCCCTTTTCCTTTCCTTCGGGGGGGTCTAGGGGCTTCGCCCCCCAGCTGAAGGGTCAAGGGCAAACCACTTTCTATCCCCTTATCTTTTCTTCCCTTCCCTTTTCCTTTCCTTTTCTCTTTTTTTTCTTCTCTTTTAGCACTGCTTGAGACCTTGGCACAAAGGGAGACCTCCCACCAAGGTCTCATCAACCAAACTGAGGTCTAGGTAGCAACCTGCCTACACCTCCATCGATTTGACAAACTAGCGACCTACCTCCACCAACCTGACAAAGACCCAGCTGGCGACTAACCTTCACCAACCTAACGACGTAAGATCTCGATAGGATTAGGTCGGCAGAAGAGGCAGCCTACCTCCGCCGACCTAAGTACCTAACGAAGACTCAAGTGGCAGCCTACCTTCGCCGACCTGACGACGTAAGATCTCAACAGGACTAGATTGACAGAAGAGGCAACCTACCTCTGTCGACCTAACGAAGACTCAAGTGACAACCTCATCACGACCGAGCTAGGGACCTTGATATTAAGGGTGACATCCTCCGAGACCCTACCGAGTCACCGACCTAACTGGGACCCAGTTGGCGACCTGCCTAATGCCTCGGGCGACCTATTCCTTTATTAGGCTATCGTCTCAAACTTCCCCGGGATCACAACACCACGTCGAAAGAGCCGGTTATCACCCCACCTGCTTCGAGCACGACTGGATAAGCACTATCTACTTACGCGGAGTCCACCTCCAGGCGTGAAACCACCTTCAAACCAGACAAGCTGGAGATCTCGGACGTGCTTCGTGAGCCTCACGACAGCTTGCCTATATAAAAGTGTCCCCTTCCTCAAAAAAGGTACGTGTGATTTAGCTCTCAAGCATACTAGCTCTCTCTTTAGCTCTCCAAGAACTTATCGCTAACTTAAGCATCGGAGTGCCCACCCTAGGTGAAGCAACCCAGACACTCTGATCTCTCTCTTCTTGTAGCTCGACCAGGCGACCTACTTAGTCCGTCGTCCGAACTGTCCGCCAATAGGGAGCATTAGATCGTGCACCATTAATTACCAAAAAAAATGTTATATTGGGCTATTGGTTTATTGGATCCTTGCTTCAAAGGACTTTGACGAGGAATCCTATTGTGATATCTAAAGTGATAAGAATATTGCATGGCCATTCTTTTCATTCATGAATTGCCTGTTGTATAAAGCATGTCATAACCCATCTTTGACCCATTGACCCAAATAGTTGAACTGTTGACTTATTCAACCCATTCACTTGGTTACCATTTTTTTCTATCATTTTATTTACTTGAATTGTTTTACTGTTATGGCATCACAGGTTGATCCATTGACCCGGATGGTTGAACCAACCCATCACCAAGAGGGAAATTCAGCCTCTGGGTTAGGTTCTAAAACATAGGTTGAGATAAAGAGATGTTTGTAAGGTAATCCAAGTCCACTAAATAGTGGTGCATTGATCAAAGATGGAATGTTCCTCAAACATGTATTTAGCAATTAGCACACTGCTGGGGGATTGCAATTCTGAAAAGTAAAAGGTTTTACTCTTTTTAATGTTTCAAGTTATATTAGTTCTGGATCTTTGCAGTCTAGACATTATATAGTGAGTTGCCCAGCATTATTTAATGAGCCTTTTTGAAGGGGAAGAAAACACATCTTCAGGTATCTAGCATAACTCCACTACTTAATCCTGTATTTGCAGTTGTCAAGGTGATGCCTAGGCAACAAGATGCCCTTGGAGGGTTGCCTTTGCTTAACACTAGTTTCTTTGTATTATTTTCTTATTTGTGAGGATTCAATCAACAGTCAACACACACATTCCTGTATGCTGTCTTGAACCTTCAAGGATGTCAAAACCTGAAACAACAAGGAAGAACTTAAAATTTTGTCCAATCAACACATTTTTCTTCTTCCACCTTTTCTTTTCTCCTTTTCCTATTAAAAAATAGGGGCTCAGCCCCTTTGTTTTCTGAAATTTCTATTCTTTCTTCTTTTTCTCATGGATATGTTAATTTTCTATACTTTAACATGAAGTTCATATTTTTCTTATGAAAATTATAGATAATTATTAAGGAAATATGGTTGCTAGTTGCTAAGGAACCTAGGGAACTACCCTAGGATATATCGTTTTTACTTTAAAAAAAATCCATTGCCTAGGCGACTAGGCGACAAGGTCCTCCCCTATCACCTAGCCTTGCCTTGGTGCCTTGAAAACTATGCGTGTATTTAAATACCTTGCTTCCCCATGGAGGCCAGACAATTGTGTTGCACTATCTTGCACTTTGCAAAGTGGTTTTATAATTTTCTCAAGTTTAAATTAATAACTAATGTTTTCATATACGACACTCTTTCTTGTTCTTTGTTTTGTGGATAGACTTTTATCTTGCTCCCAATTCAACGAAAAGGCACTCTTCTGATTCACTACCCACCCACCCACACACACACACACACACACACACGAGGGGAGCAGCTTTGTGGACATTTTGGAATAGAAACATGTGATGAAATAGGATACAATCAAAATTGTCACATGGTATTTACAGAGAAATACAGAACCATCTTTTTTTATGTATTTTTTTCTTGGGAATGTAGATTGTAGACAGGCCCACAAAAGGGTAAAGGTACCCTAGCTTGTAACTTTTCTTTCTTGATCACTTCTTTTCTCCTACTCTCTTTCTATTTTCTTGTAATGTTCCATTGTTATTATCAGAAATTTCTTGTTACTAATACAATGAAGAATAAGAGAAAGAGTATATCTGATGTGTGTCATCTTATCTGCATCCAGGTTTTGAAGTTTCTGATGGAAAGAAATAGTATTAATGCCCTTCATGGTCAAGTTACAATTGGAACCCTCATTCTTCAGGTATTGAGCACTGCCAACTTATCTTGCAATCATGAATGGTATCTATAATCCAATAGAAAATAGGAGAAGAAGCTGAGAAGACAAGAAGAAGATAGTCAAAAGATTGAAAATTTCCAAAAAATTGGTCTGGTGGGTCCCTTATTTGTATTTATATTAGGGTGGCATCACTTAATAAAAAAAGAATAAAAAGGCAATTTCTGTGCCTGTGGCAATCTGACTCTAGTATTACAACACTCCCCTCAAGTTGGGCTGTAGATGTCAATCATACCCAACTTGTTACAGATTTCACTGCTCCTGCAGAGAACACAACCCTTTTGTTAAAACATCAACAAGCTGATCCTTTGTGTTAACATAAGGAGTATACACCTCTCTCTTCTCAATCTTTTTCTGGATGAAGTGCTTATCAAATTCAATATGCTTAGTCCTGTCATAGAGGACTGGATTAGTCTTCATGTTAATAGCTGCTTTGTTATCACAATACAAAAACATAGCGCTGTTTACAGTAAAACCAAGTTCCTCAAGGAGGTTTACATAGATCATACAGTCCCAACAAAGAACAAGGGAAGTTCTAGGAAAACTTTAAACTTCCATCTAAACAAACTGATTGCCACAAAGAATGGTTCTCTTGGTCCCATGACCAAGAAACAGTAAAAAAGGAGGGGAAAAAGGATTTCAGACCAACCTGGGTTCTTGTAATATGCTTCCCAATCAGAAAACAGAGAGGTTTGAGAGTAGAAAATGGATAAAGTTGAAGCTGATCAAGATCCCTGCTCTGATAGGACTAATACCATATAATCCAATAGAAAACAAGAGAAGTAGATGGGAAGAAGAAGAGAAGAGAATAAAAAGAGAGTCAAAATTTTGAAAACTCCCAAGAAATTGAGCTGGCGGGGGCCCTTATTTGTATTTATATTACGGTGACATCACTTAACAAAAAGGAATAAAAAGACAATTATGCCCCTATGGAAATCTAACTCTAGTATTAAAACAGTATCATAATTAATGTAAAACGTTATAACAATTATTAGGAGTTCAGAAATCAGTTTAGAGTAGAAATGCTTTTCTACTATTGCACTATTCAAGTGGGGAATATTTGTTATTCTTTATGAGAGAATGAATGCATATACAAAAAACTTCATGCTTGAATCCTGAGTTTTCTTTTCCTGCCAGGATTGCGCTGTTGGTTTGCTGTTTGCACTGTTACCTGTTCTGGGTGGTTCTTCTGGGATTCTTCAAGGAGTAATATCCATGACTAAGTTGTAAGTAAAGGACCCACATATTCCCCTCCTCCTTCTGTTAGTGCTTTTGCTGCTTAATTCAATTAAACAAATTTTGGCTTTTCCTCATGCATGAAAAGAAGGTATTAGTTTTATGGTTCCTGATAAGACCATACATCTCTGTATCTGAAGAAAATTCTAAGATTGTTTGGTGTTACACTTTTATTTTGTTGGAGGATTATTTTTTTTCTTGACTTCTATTAATGTGCATTACTACACCTAAGATGCACTTTTCTAGAACTGCAGGCGTTGCTCTAACCTTAAGGATGACATGCATGTGGCCATATCAATGTGTCTATTTAAAGAAATAGACACTAAAAATATATTCATTTAACACTTAAAACTTGGGAAGAAAATTATTGTTTGGATTGGTTGAAAAGGGAAATTATTAATTGAATAGCCTAAGGTTATTTGTAGCCAATGCAAATGTGAAATAAGGAGGAAGAGATCATCCTCATTTTCAGTCAAGGATGCCAAAATGCATGAACATCCAAACTCCATAATTAGAGGTTTTTTTTTTTTCCTCCAGGCACAAATTAAAAGGCACTGACTGAAGGATGCCAAAGTGCATGAATACCCCAAACATGGTTGGCACAAATTGATAGTGCCAACAACATTTTGTGGTACATCCAAGTAGCTCCCTGATCTCTGTATTATATTATTACCTATTCTTGTGGTTAGAATAAGCAATTGCTGTATGTTGTCATTCAAGGTGAACGTGATAATTCACACCCGAGATATTTGGTATTGTTGTATCAAGCAATGGCTATTAATTAGTAGATCATTCTCTGTTCCAGGTTGGTCCTGCTGATTACATTTTTGGCCATTTTGTCAATATTTTCTCGCACATGTGTACCCTGGTTTCTTAAGCTGATGATAAGCCTGTCATCACAGGTATGGATTCCATAAATGATAGGATTAAAATTGCTTACTTTCTGTTTCAGCATGTTTTGACTGAAGTTTGTATCTGTGCAGACTAATGAACTTTATCAGCTTGCTTCAGTGGCATTTTGTTTACTTGTTGCTTGGGTTTGTGCCACTTCTTAGAACTTGGACTGATGCATGTCTTGCTTTTGCTTCAGTATACTTGTTTGTTTTATTTTGTGTTGTGATAATAATTGCTGCACTGACAGCTTTCGTAATGGTTAAGTTCTTGCTTTGAAAGTATTTATTATATGCAATCTTTAGAGTTCTTACAAGTTTGCAGAGAAAGAACCTCAAGTCATTATTTCATAAGCTTGTTGACAGTCTTTTACTATAAAAAGTCATGATGCTTATGAGTGCCTGACCATAGCCTTAGTGGCTCTGCCAGCTGCACAATGTTAGGTAGTTGTTTTTTATTTCAAAAACAAAACCAACCTTGTTGTCAAAAACCCCTTTAGTGTAGTTGAAATTTTCAAATTCTGACAAAAATGACCTTCCTTTACAAGTACTTTGCATCTTTTCATATTTATTGGTTAAAGAAAATTAGATTTATCTTCATGTTATTTTCATGCCCATTAATAATTGTTATACTTGGATGAAACTAGAGATTCAGGAACTGCAATGTCCTGAGTCAAGTTTTAAGATTTTAAACTCTCACTACTCAAGTCGGTTACCTTCACATTGGTGTAGTTTTTTATACTTCAATGTCTAATTGTAAAGAAAGCTAGATGTGCTTTTCTGAATGAGACTTCCGCACTATGTTCTTCTCCCTTCTTTTCTCCATCCACCAGCTTTTAGTGCCCAGAACTATTGAGTGGATGAATCTGTTTTGGTGGCACCTGCCACACCCTGCAACCAGCCTCTCTCCTTTGCCCCTATCTGCACACTACAATGCTTTCAGCTTTTTATCATCATAGTTTCTGTGAAATGTTGTGACCATTTATTCATCTGACCTAACTTTTCATTTTTTTTCTCTTTCTTATTTTACCATTTCAGTGCAGTGATAAGCTTGGTCTAAGTCTTGAACTAGGCTCCTTTGCTGCGGGCGTGATGATATCAACCACCGATCTTGCACAACATACACTTGAACAGGCAAGATTATTTTCTTCTTTTTTTATTAGCAGTCTTGGATGATGAACTTTCTGCCTCCAAGATTCAGCATATTGAGGGGAATTTCTGGGAAAGTTTTAGATAATATGTTTCTCTCTCTCTCACATATGCCTTTCTTCCATAAATGGAATTAAACTTTCCATTTCTGCTTATGAAGATGACCATAATTATTTAGGACATTGAGTCATTCCTGTAATGCTGTTTTCCATTGGGATTATGATACATGCTCTATAATTGCAATTGACTTCTCAACAATTGAAATATGATCAATTGATCATTCATTATGTAGTGATTCGGGGCATTTTCTTGAAAATTTTAATTATCAACATTGCAATTCCGGGATTTATAATTATTTTATCAACTTTTTGGTTGGTAAATGGGCAAACTATTCCTCTGGTATTTTGGGTGGTTGGTTGAATGTTATGGAGGATGAACACTGTCTTACTGGTATATGCACTGTGCCAGATATACTTGGGCAAATATTTGGTTGGCTTTAGCAGATAAAGTGGCTTCAAGCACACACTGATTTTTTTTTTCTATTTTGCAGGTTGAGCCCATTCGCAACTTCTTTGCCGCTCTTTTTCTTGCCAGCATTGGAATGCTCATTCATGTCCATTTCCTTTGGAACCATGTTGATATTTTACTAGCAGCTGTTATATTAGTGATCATTATAAAAACACTTGTGATAGCCATAGTTGTTAAAGGATTTGGCTACAACAACAGGACTTCACTTCTTGTAAGATATTTGCATACTTGGATATTTATTATCTTGGAACCATCATATATTGCATTTAATGATGGAACTTTGATTCTCCTATATTTATAGGTTGGGATGTCTCTGGCACAAATTGGGGAATTTGCCTTTGTTCTTCTCAGTCGTGCATCTAATCTTCATTTGGTTGAGGTTAACCCCCCCTTGCCCAATTACTTTTCTTTTCTCCAGAGAGTGATCTTATATCAGATTAATGTCTCCTAGCTCACAGACAACAGATAATCTGCAGACAATGTCTTTCATAACTAAAATGTGCATGTATTTGTATGTTCGTAGTAAAATTATATTAGACATTTGTCAATAACTAAGTTTTCACCTTTACAGGGGAAACTGTATCTGCTGCTTCTTGGTACAACAGCTCTTAGTCTGGTACGTGGTGCTTTTGGTATCATATTACAAGCGATATAACGTGTTTTGCATGTAACATCTTGGCATTTTTCAGTGCTAGATTTTGGCAGTCTAGGCACAGAAATTATTGAGTTGTAGAACATCCCTGTCAACAATTCTGCATAAGCCAAAATTGGGTAATGGTGGGTTTGGAGGTGTCAGGTGTGTACAGGACAAGTTTTTATTGTGCTTGTTTGTTGAGGGTATTTTCTGTGGATGTCCAACTCAGCTGGCCATGCCAGACCAACCTGACAATCTGATTTGCTCAAATGGATGGAGAAATGTGGCAAGTAGTCTGGCAATAGAGTAGAGGTTTGGTGTCTGCGGAGGTGGATCAAGGACAAAAGAGGCATACCTGCAGAAGAAAAGACAGATGGTGGCATGATGGGGGATGCAAGCTGGGGCTCTCATCCCAGTCCCTCTTTCAGACTGCCTCCCAAAAAGAACAAGTCAAGGGTGGTAGCAATGTAGCTTCCCTTCATTGTCTCAAGGGCTATCCTTGCAATTCTGAGAACGGCGACCTGCAATGACATGGGCTTCAGGATGAGGACATTGCAGCCAAAAGCTGGCCATGCTCATCCTGAACAGTGGCGGGTAGAAGACCAGCCAGTTTTTGTGGCAGGTTGTGTGGGCTTTGTTACCCTCAAAACGCACTGTGACCCCTCTCTTGTTTCTCTCACCTCGAAGTAGGGGTGGATTCGAGCCGAGCCAAGCCGAATAGTACGAGGCTCGAGCTAGAACATTAAAAAACTCATAAGCTCGAGCTTGAGCTCGATTTCAGAAAAAAATGTTTTATAAAAATAAAAAATTATATATAAAAAATATTTTTTATCTTGATATTTAAAAAATTAAGAATTATACTATTTTTATTTTATATATATATATATATATATATATATATATATATATATTCGAGCTCGGCTCGAAGCTCGGTTGAAACTGAGCCGCGCTCAAGCAGCTCGTGAATAGCTCGGCTCGTGGCCACCCCTACCTCGAAGGGAGGAATGTCCTGCACATTGCATTGAACCCTTCATAAATGTATTATCCCCTCCACTAAGGAAGGGACATTCATCCCAAGAAGGATAGCTCATTCCCTCTTCCTAACCATGAGTCCATGACCATTCCCTCCTTCGGGTCATCTGGCTATGTTTCTAAGAATCTTTGCCTTGCATGTTTGGAATAATGTTATGTCTAGGGATGGAAATTTTAGACCCAAGCCACTGAACTCACCTATTCACCTAACCTGTCCATATACTTAGCTGCTTGGAAATGGGTTGAATCACTCATTGGGTCAACATAAATGGGTCGAATTGGGTGGGATTGTGGGTACCCATTGGGTTTATCGCATATAAATGGTTTAGTGTAAGGACTAAGTTGTCTAGCCATTTTCTCATTAATTCTCATTAGCCCTTCATTTAAATTCAAATAATTCATTGACTTAACTCATAGTTAACTGCTGTAGTTAATTCATTTTTTTTTATCAGAAACGATAACTTTCATTAGAGATAAATTAACCTGAAATACAGAATTCAACCCTTATTAGAAAAGGTTGATCCAATAAACATCAAACATTACAGCACTGCCCAAAAATGACTCTCCTTTGCAGTCCCTTGTTCTGCTAGGGCGTCAGCAAAACCATTTGCTGATCTCCTTACCCACTTGAACAAAACACCCACCTCCCTTGTTATGCTAAGAATTTCCCTTATTAGCTGTCTATATTGCCAAATTCCCAGCTGCCCTGATTGCATCCACCCAATTACCAACTTGGAGTCTCCCTCTATCTCAATCTGCTGTAGCCCCAACTGTTTGGCCAGTTTTACACCTTGATGTAGTGCCAAGATTTCCGCTCTTATGGAATCTCCAATTGCTGTAGTTAATTCTCCATCCATAATTAATGCATTAACTTATTGTTAATTGTTGGAAATAATTATTAACTCAAAATACAAATGCCTAGAATTGTTGTAAAGTGCTGTAACTAACTCTCAATCCATAATTAATGCATTCTTGCCATTAACAGTTGGGTTTGGCATAGATATGGTTCAACCCATATCTGACCTAAATTAACTCAAGCCTGACCTGGCCCAATGGTTTTGCAGTTCAATCATCCAGTTTATAGGGCAATTGACAAGACTGACCGGTCTGACAGGATGGCTATATGTGCCAGACATTGTATTGGTCCAACCAACCAATTTACAATGGTGTTGGTAGAGTCAACCAGTTTAGTCTGGTTGGTTTTCCATACCACTAACAGGTCAGGCTGGCCGGTTCAATCGTGGGTTGGAAACACCTCTAAAGACCATTCTATCTTATTCTCTGTCCTCTTTCTCTTTGAATTTAAGGTTCTCATTAATTCCATTTAAATTACTAATCCATTTAAATTCTCTATGGAAAATTTATGTTCCAGTGATGTGATTTGAACCTATAACCATTCTTACCATTAAGACATGTTTAACCAAGTAAATAAAAGTAAGCTGGTTTCAACTTTCAAGCCATTTTCATAAGCTAAGGTTATTACAGGTTAATGGGTTGGGTCAGGGTGGGTTTGGGTTGAACTCAACCCACGTAATTTCATTTAAACGGGTCATTAACAAGTTGATGGGTTAGATGTTTGGGTTGAAACCCAACCCATCCAATTGCTACCCTACTTGTGTAGTGAGAGTATGTAGCTTGGCCTGATTTGTCCTGTTGGTGCCTAATAATGAAATGAGAGAAATAACTGGAAAAGGTCCAAAAGTCACTGCCAGCACATTATTTATGTGCCAAAATGGTTGCAGAACAGTTTTCAAACTAGAAACATGTAGGTAGCAGCAATAACAAATTCCTTCAAGCATTTGGTCATGGTGTCAGACATGCACAGGGCACGTTTGTTCTCATTTTTTTTTCTTCMCCCCCCCCCGCCCCAAGTTCTTAGCCTTACCTTGATCTTGGGTTGATGATTTTCACTTTAGATTTTGACAATGTAGAGGTGGAGACTAATTGTTGTGTTAGGATGGATGCTACTCTTTGATGGTCCATGATCCCTGCATCATTTCTTTTCTTTTGATCACTGCCAAAGAGGTGAGTTTTCCATCATCCAGACTTCCAGAGTGGACATCCTTTTTAATTGGATCGTGGGTTTATTAACTCTTTGGTGGAGAATAGAAGACTTGGGAATACTTATACCCAGATATTTGTACATGCTTAGCATACCAGTGTCTGAAACAACATTTTCTGGGTGTGCTTTCACACACCAGATGTTTCATGGACGCTTCTAGATGTATTCTATACCATAGGTGTATTCTATAGTATTAAACGCATTTAAATTATGTAAGAAGGTGATTGTCCAAAGTTAGTCCCAGTTATCTGGGGTCTTGGGAGGGATGGATCCTAACCTTTGGCAACTTTTTTGGACGAAGTGGCTGCTCTTAGACTTGAACCTGCATTCTCACACTTATCAGCATGAGATTTTACCATAACACCAAGCAATGGTTCCCGTGTTCCCGTGTACCATAAAGTGATCTGTACATGGAATTCTCATTGTATCCATGTTCAGGATGTTTAGAAATGGAAAGTCATCAGAGAGTGAGTTTCATTTAAATCAAAATAAAAATCTACGACTACCTTTCAAGTGGCGTATGAAAAGGGGAAGGACTATGTGGAGGGGATTGAGGGCTGCAGTATGCTGGTCATTATGGGAAGAAAGAAATTCCAGGATCTTCTCAGAAGTGGAGAGGGGCTGAAGAACTGAGGGCTATAATCCATTATTAGGGCTGTCCAATGGCTGAAATCCTTAGAGATATTTACAGATTACACAGTGGATGACATGTTGAGGAAGTGGGGTGAGATTGCAAACTGTACACAGGCCAGATCAGTAATGAGTGTGCACTGGACCCCACCACCTGCTGGATTCATAAAATTAAACTTTGGTGGGAATAGTAGGGGGAATCCCGGACAGTCAGGGATTGGGAGTGTCTTCAGGGATGAGAATGGGGTCATTTCTACCTTGTTCTCAGGCCCAATTGGAGTGGGTGACTCTCTTAGAGCTGAGATCTCTGCAGTTATGGAAGGAATCCAGAAAGCTTATAATTGAAGGGGACTCAGAGGTGGTGATAGGGTGGCTGAATAAAGATAACAGTGGTTTATGGAATTACAGCAATGAGAGGAGAAAATCTAAGTGGTTGGTGCGGGAGATGGAAGTGAAGATGAATTGGGTTAAAAGATCAGCTAATTCTTTAGCTGATGGATTAGCTAAACAAGGGGTAGAAAGGGACTCAATGTTTTGGGCTAAATTGTAACTTTATTGTTTCTTCCTTTCCTTTTCTTTATTTTTGAAGGCTTAAGTTGTACTTGGAAGATAAGAGTGTTTGTCTTCCTCTTTGTAATTATTTTAATGATGAGTTAATGAATGTGTTATTGGTCAAAAAAAAAAAAAATCTACGGCTACCAGAAAATGTGGAGTATCTTACAGATTAGACAGTTTGATATAGGTTATGACTTTTGTGTGATCGTCGGCATTTCAAGAGCAATTTCTCCCTGTATGTAGCTCACTATGGCTTGACAGTTTGTACAGATGACTGACTTAAAGAGCACTATTTGCAGGTGACAACCCCATTGCTTTTCAAGATGATACCTGCTGTTGTACATCTTGGAATTCTACTGCGTTGGTTCTCCCCTGATAGTGGTCAAGGCGAGGTAACTTCTTTTATCTTGGCACTCATTATCCCTGTCACTGATTTGTTTGAAGATTGCTTTCATCCTTTAGGAGTGAATGGTTAAGATATTTTCGATATGGTTTTGGACTTCCAGATTGGGTTTAAAGGCGAAAGCCTTCGTGCAGACAGTGCTAAGCGTATTACTCTGATGGTCCAAGGCTCTCATGATTCATGATATTAAAAAATACAATATGAAACAAAAATGGAATTTCGAGCTTTACCTGATTGGAATTCTTAATACTCTGGAGGACAGGTGATTAAAAGTGCAAAGGAGGTTGACTGAGTCACAAATTACATTTTCTTATAGAAGGCTCTTCCTGATGTCTGTCATATATCTGACCAAGCGAACAATCGACTGAGCAAACTTTACCTGAAAAGTGGGAAAGCTAACAGGGGAATGCCAAGAAATTTTGAGAGATGAAGCTTAGATGGTTGGACCTTTGATTCATTTGGGTCATCTGCTCGCCATCCCATCTCACCAATTTTGTGTAAAATATCATCCACTAGTGTAATGTAATTCAATTTATTTTTGTATTAATTTTCCTAATTTGATAGGCTTGTTTAAAATTTTAAACCGCCATCATAGTTTAAATGTGTATCAATTCATGTTCTGAAAAATAGTAACTGTGTATGAACTGATTTTTTTTTTATCCTTTTCCTTTTGCTTCAAATTGCTGCGGCATGTCAACAACCTTCTTTGTCTCTTGAACTTGAAGACTTGAAGCCAAGCCACTTTCCTAGTCCAATTTCTCTACCTCAAAAGTCAGTAATTTAACCCGGGGATTTGGTTAGGATCTCCTATGACTTGTGTCAATCTTTTTGTGATATCTGTAACTTGTCAATTGGCAAATCATACCTAAATGATGATATTACAAATTGCCAATTAACTATATATGGCAAATTGACCATAAAGTTAGTAGTGCCTGACTGACCACTAACTAAATATTATATTGATAGCTCGCCTAACTTTATAAGTTGATGGATTCCTATGAGGTTATTCTTTCGATCTTGCATATTTACTTAGTTACTACTGCTGCTAAAGCTTAAGCAAGCGAGGTCTGGAAGGTTTTGGATGCCTCGCAATCTGATATTGGTGTCGTGCCCATCCAGCAGCCTCTCACTAGTCACTACAGTGAATTGGACTTTGCAGCTGAATGTGAATGTTGATATTTTGCGTCGTCAACCACTAATTCTGGATATGTATGAAAATACAATACACTCGTTGAATTTAGGTCCATTCTACTGTTGAGCTGATACGGACTGTTAGAAATCCATGCTGACATGTATGAAGATGCTGTTTTATATTAGATTTATATGTTTTTAAGTTTAACACAAGAGTTATATTAATACATGTAATAATGTATTATAAATATTTTGGATATTATGTTAACATGATTTGTGGATTTCCAGCTCTCATATGTCAAAAAATTTATATTCGACATTTATATATTAGATCAATTTGGGATGAGTTTACCATTTATATGTACAATATATGATTTAACTTTAGATGTTCTGTACATATTAGTTTGTAAATAGTGGTTTCATGTGTACTTTGCGTACAAACGCAAATTACAATAACTTCCTGTATGCGTTGATTTTTTTTTAGAGAAAAAAAAAGGTATCTATTCATTAAGGAGGTTTTCTTAAAAAGATGGTATAGATGATCAAATGAACACATTACGGATACCACAAGAGAAAGCACACCAATAAGTAAGATAATAAACCCCTGCAAAATCCAGTTATATTGGTTAAATGCCATGGAGGTGTGGCCAACAGGAATTTGACCATGTTAAAATATTCTACAATGTTAAAATATTTAATTCACAAGCAAAGCGGAACGCAAATAAAATTGTTTGGCCTTCAGCTTCTTCAACCGAACAAGAACAAAAGATCCCCTCCAGTCATGGAACACTATGCTAGCACCACAGTGGTGATCTGAGTCTGAGGTGGTCCCAACCACGTCAACTTTCAAATGAGACTAGGGAAGAGCCTAGGAGGCGAACAGGGTTTAATATTGTTATTTACCGGTGGATCATCGGACACCAGCAATTACTTGGGCATTCACTTTATTAATGACCAGCCGAGGAATAAATTCCTTCCCTTCCATAACCAAACAATACCGAATTAGTAAAAAGTGCACAAGATGGATCAGCCTACGGCTATTCCTTCAACCAATCAATAAGGCCCCACTCATGATAGACGTCCACGCTACAATTGGTAGCACCAAACCATATAGGATGCATAACCTTGCATTGAAAAAAAAAACTATGATTAATAGATTCCGCTTCAGATCTGCAAATGGGACAAGGGTCTCCAGAAGCATGAAAAATGTGAACCTGATGAGGGAATAATTCCAAGTAACTCCCAAATTCACATTTTTCTCTGATAAGAAAGGTCAGTTTGCCAGAACTGCTTCCAAGTAACTCCCAGCCAAGCCCAAGATTTTAGTGAGGAGACAGGGCGATCCAGAGTGAGGGATTTATAGCTTATGAACAGTTGAAATTCCCATTCTTTGTAAACATCCAAACTAGAGAATTTTAAGTTGTGCTTCGGCTGAGGGGGGCTGATATTCAAGATATGCAAAGCAATATGACGGGGAAAAAACGGACTTTATTACTCTTCCATTGATTCATGTCTATATCAGTAAGTACAACCACACAAGGGCTATGAACAATGGTAGAGGATGAGGATCCAAGGATAAGAGGCGTTAAAGTTTGGTATCAAGGATCCTTGAGAGCACTAATTTTCCAGCCATCAGTCACTGGCCACTTCACACTTTTTAGAATGGTTATTTTCATCATTTTGATATTTATTGTTAACAATCCCAAAAAATAAATTTTAGATGAAAAATTTGATAATTTAATTTTTTTTTGTCAATCCCATCTAAGCTTCAAAGTATCGATATGTATCAGCTAATACATACCGTGCCAGTGGCTTCTTGATACATCCCTACAGGGGTTGTATTGGATCAATCACTGGTTCAGAGGGTAGCCAGGTCTTAAATCAGCCTCTCTAAACCAATTTCAAAAAAATAAGTAAAACATAAAAAAAAAAAAAACACTGACACAGGTCGGTACGCCCTACAAACGCAGTGTTGATATTTAGAACCTTGACCCCATCAACAGACCCAGGGCAAAGTACTAAATCTAAAATTTTCCGCAAAACAAAGTTTGGGGCGGAACAGATAAGTGTTACCACCCCCTAATTAAATACAGGGTGGCTGCTAATTTACCCTTATATATGAATTCGGATTAGCTGTAATGATGGCTGTGTAAGGGGCTGTATAACCAATTATAAAGTCCCACGCAAGTGATAAAATACATAGGCCCACAGTGAGAGATTGAGTGACTGTGGGCCCAAGCATTAAAAGACTGGCGTGGGGCATTGTCATTGATCCCACAGCCTGCTGAATAGCTATTGCATTCAGCTAATCCTATTTCTGTATATACACACCCACTAATGGTGGTAGGACTGATAATTCAACCCAAAAAAGAAACGAGTAAAATACAGAGGAAGAAAGAAAAAAAAATCGAATCCTGATGTAAAATTGAACTAAGTTACAGTGTTTCATATCCGAAGAAAATCACCTCAAACTATTATTTTACTAGGAAATGTATATTAGCATTTAACAATGTAAAGAACGAAGAGTACTAAAGGGAAATAGCTTGAAAAATGTCAGAAGCAGTGATCACTTCTGAAGTTTCAACTAATCCGAGTGGTGGCTCACTTGGTTAAAATGGCTTACTTGGTTGGTTAAAATATATGTACGATGCAAGGGCCCACCTTGTCTGGTTGTATGTGATCCTTCTTCTAGAGTTGTTGCAAAATTTAATCCAAAGGAAACATGTGACTATGAAAATTGGAATACAACGAAAAGCTTCCAGAAAGGATAATGGGATATGCGAAATTTGACACATCGTTGGCTCATTCTGAGAGAAATTTTTGCCACCCCATTGACAGTTACAGGTAGTAAAGAAGGCATGCTCGGTGGTTCACACGTCGCTATTTCTTAAAAGTGATAATCAAATATGATAAATTGTTCATATTCAGGGGAGGGGGAGAGAGAGAGAGAGAGAGAGGAGTAATTGCTGAAACAAAGTAGGATATATTTCTACAAATTAAGATATGATATTTGGATACTTATTTTTCTTGGCAAATTACTTGGGAAGCTTTATTATATTTGACTGAACTCTCACCATGACTCTGTTTTGTGTTTTTTAAGTTAATAAATAAAAACAGAGTAATAGGTGAGGTACTACCTTTACAGTGAGGTTCAAAAGTAACCTACTCTGGAATCACTTCAAACCTTCATAAAGATGCTATTATCAAGTTATCCTCTTCACATGTTATATTATCCACACAGTGTAAGTCAAAATCAACTGAAAAGAAACAAAAGGTCTACACCACCAAGCAAACCAATTACTGAGAGGTCGAGGTCCCCCCACAAAACTTCAATGGTTTCCCAAGCAAGTAGCAGAAGAAAGGAGCTGGATGACAACATTAGGCAGAAAAGACCCAAAAGTTTTGTCTTCACAGTTTGTGGACATGCTTTATTCTTTCTCTCCCCTTATCCACATGGTAATAGTTGTCACAAACCCTGGAGCTGGAATGATGTGTTAATGCCTTAGACACACATCTAGATCCTTCAATTTTGTAAATCCATGGACACTATATCAGGTCTTACCTAAGGTAATGAATCGTATATGTAAATCCTGTAATCACACTTTTGAAAATGTTGAAGGCTTAATTGTTCGCCCTCCTTTCTTTCTGCAATTAAACCCAAAAATAAATAGAAAAGAACATTCTAAACACAATAATATCTCAAGATTTGTTGACTTAAATTGCACTCCAGTAGCTCAACCTTAAAGGCCACTTGAATCAATCCGACAATTCGAAGTTTGTTGTATGACTAAGCATGTGCATGCAATACAAAATTAAATCAAATGCAAAATTGAGTATAGTTTTATTGATGGAAAAAGTTCCTTCTGTCGATTTGGTCGACTGTAACGTCGTTATTGAGTCATATAATTCACAAATTCAGTGGTGTTGCTAATACAAGTTGGACCATTTCTTCGGCTTTGTTGTGTCAACTACAAAAGTTTCAACCCTTTTGGACCAGGACAAATCTGCTTAGCCATGTCATAGTCTATGTCATACTTTGTTTCCTCTCTTGTGCCTGATGTCTTGTTCTTGATTGAAAAGTGTTTTTTGATAAAAGCATTAGATGCCCAGGCCAATGGTTAAAAGAAGAATGAATGCAACTTGTAAGAGGGTATAGTAAAAAGGGGAAGAGCTTCACTGGTTATTGTTTTGACAATCAAATTACCTCTATTACAAATGAAGTACAGCTTCAATTAACTTACAATTCTTTGTAGTCCTTCAAAGATCAGAAAGAGCTCATTAAGATAATTTAGTGAAGTATGGTAAATTTCTATTTTTACAACCCAGAAACTCAAAAGAAGGATTTATTCTTTGTGGGTAGGAAATTAGTTTTAACTTGGTCAGCAGGTGAAGACAGGTTTCAAATCCGTGTATTTAGGATACTTGTGCAACTGAGCAAGTTGGCATGTTCAACTTGGATGGATTGATTGAATGACAGAACAGAAAAGGCATAAGATTAAAATATTTCCTGGTCCTAATTTTCCATGGACACCTTTATTGATGCAACTAGCACTTTAAAGGAATTGAATCTGCTGTGTTCTTTAAGCTCCAAATTGAAGCTAAAGTGGGGAAGACAGAAAAGCAGTTAGGTATTGAGATTTCCTGTGGTGGTAATTGCTAAAGTTTTGTATCTCTGACATCTGTTTTGTTTTTTGGTTGCTGTTTCAGTCAATGAACAGAAACGTGAATGGAGCACAAAACATCATGACTGCATCAAATTGTCGGTTCTCATGACATGTAAATCAATTTAATTACCCATATACAGAGGAACTCTCTTTCCTTGATAAGATCTAGCTACTCCCATTTAAGTGTCATCCACAGTCTGCTCATTCAGACAACAAGACTATTTTCTTTTGGAACATTCTGAGAGTACAACAGTAACAATGTCGTTGAGTGCAAAAGACATTAAAAATGTCCACCTTCAATTGATCACCTGTTCCATCCTCCGTTTCAGCTCAAAAAGGAATAACACTGATAATGGCAACTATTCACTCATGGATTCTGCTAGCTAGAGCTAGATCACACTAATGGGTCCGATTAAAAGGGGACCTGGGGACGATTTACCCTGATCCAGTGGCCTCTGGACAGAAAGTGTGAGCTTTAGATCAGGTGAAGCATTTTGGACAGTGGGGTTTGTTGTGATGGTAGCACTAGGCCCTGCATCAAGTGATTCATATGGTCGAACTGGCATCAAATGAAAGCTTGAAGGAAATTTGGAGAAACTGGTTTCTTGGTCATCTAGCTTGGTGCATTGTTCTAATGGATTAGGGTCTAACAGTGGTTGTAGGTTAGTGTCCTGATAAACTTCATTAAACGAAGCAGCTGTTGCTATGGTAAAGGATGGGGAAGTAATGGGACCAATGGGCAACAATCCACAGGAAACAGAAGGGTCCTTGAGCTTGAAACTGGTAGTGCTAACCTGCTGATCTGCCATACTGCTGCTGCTGCTCTTAACCTGCAAAGTTAAGAAGCAAAAGAGAGGCACAGGACTGGTTTTGACATTGATAACACAGGATCCAATAATGTATAATAGGATTTCAGAATGGTGGATATACCATGTCAAAGAGGCTTGAACGACGCTTCTTCTTGTTGAGAGATGTCTGCCGGAGAAAATATTTCTGGGCATGGCTTGCAACTTGGGTTGGAGTTCTTGTGGTGACGAAGTTCCTTGAGATACCCCTCCAGTCACCCTTGCCAAGCTTCTCAAGCCCAGCTAGAAATGTCCTGTGTTCTTCCTCTGTCCATGGGACTCCTAATCATCCACCATTAAAAACAGTCACACCTCCCAAGTAAAAACGTATTAGTCAAGAAAAATGACAATTCTAACTAATATTATTGACATACAGAATTAAGTTTCTCACTAGCAAATTGACAAATAATGAAGTCTTGTGAAATCAAAAAGGAAACCATCAACTATTAATGGATCCATGAGTGAGGAATTAGAGTTAATTTGGCGCATTTGAGAGTAATTCTGAGAAACCGTCATCATCGCACCAATACCAAAACCATCACGACCAAACAGGAAATTTGAATTAGAAACCACTAGTAAAAGAATAAAACCTCTATTAGAAAACATCCGCACAACCCCATTTACAGGAAAATCCGTTGGAAGGTGTATGGGAGTGTAGAAAAGAAGGCCTAAACATGAAGTAAGACGCCAAAAGCTTCAGGGATAAGATAAATCTAGGTTCTGCTCATGAAAGTCAACGACAGGGAGATTCATGGAAAAGCTTTCAGAAACAAAAACTAGGCTCTGCTCCAATTCCTCAGGAAAATCAACTCAGAGAAGCGCCAGGAGAAGGGGTCGAAAATCTAGAGAACAGAACAGAACAGTTTTACATGATCGTGACATAAAAAAAAAAAAAGTAAACGAGTAATTAAAGTATCCACCTTCCAAAACCAAAGCTATCGCTAACTGCATTGTATGGCGAAACAAAAAGAAGATAAAACAGAACTCAATCCGTGCTCACCCTTCTTCCTCTCTTGGGTTCTGGCAACGAGACCATCCGAGAGATACCCATTGGGGGCTTTATCTGAATTCTCATCGGTGACAACTTGAGACGAAGACGACGAAGAAGAAGCTGATGATGACGAGGCCGATGGTAAGCAATCCATGCTAAAACTCTTCTTCATGGAAAGAGAAGGAGATGAAGAAAGCAAGTCGAGTTGCACACCGAAGAGCCTCAGCCCACCAACGGCGGCGGCGGCACTCCCTCTGTAAGTGGTGCAAGTTCTTGAATTGTGACCTATATTCCCACAGTGTGAGCATTTCCTGCCCATTCTCACTCGGACAAAACTCAAACACGACAGAACTCACCGACACCCACAGCACAAAGAAGCTAGGGAGGAAGAGAGAAAGAGAGAGAGGTCTCACTAACAAGTTATTAGTTCGTTGGTGTATATATGATGAATTGATGATAATGTGTGTGATGGGTGGGGACTGGGGAGTTCAATAAGAATGCAAAATAAGGAAGGAGTATTGGATGGACATAGTTTTTGCGTTGGATATTTTTCCAGCCTAATTGTTTCTTTCTAACTAAAGGAAAAGCTATGTAGAAGACGTACAGAACGTTTCTATGTATGAAAAAGCTAATCCCATACTGCCATTCCTGTAGGTGGGGACCCTTGTGTTATCTATCTTCCTATATATGAATCATCAATCATGGGTATGTGTTATGTATATTTATCTAGTATTTGAGTCCCCACCCATTTAATTTACACCATAAAATTAATTGACTTTGAATTGATGAGAGAGAGAGAGAGATGGAATTAATTTTGAATGGCTTAGGTGGGTAGCTTAAAGAAGGAAGCCAGATTAAAATAGAAAACGAGGATCTAGAAATTTGAAGCTGATCAACCAACAACATTATAAGTTATAATAAGAAATAGGAAATGTTTTAATGCGTCAATACTAAGAAAGTTAAAACATTAATCTGAGTAGATTAGTTTTGATTTTTGAATCATTTGGTTGTCCAAACTCCCTGTCAGTATAACATATATTTATGTAGGGCAAATCGGAGGGTTTGGTTTCAACACTCTATTTTTTTTATGGGCTGCTTGTAGCCAATGAATTTTCACAGAATCCCCCACCCCTTCTTCTTCTTCTTTAATCAAATCAGTCAATATTACCCACCAACTAGTTTATACCTGTCTCCAATACCCAAAATAATGGGCCAAGATCAAGAAGACACCTACCGGATAATGGTGGTTGTTTGGGTGCATCAAATACTTCATTCACTTTGTCCAGTATTCAGAGAAATCCGATCCCCACCCTACAAGGATACAACCCACAAGACAAGTTAATCAAACCAATTTTCTTAGATTCATTAAGATGTTTGGTGTGGGATGGATTTGTCTTAAGCCGTAAATAAAAATTTTGTATACTTGGCATTTATTTCTTGGGAAATAAAACCACACAAGCACAGTTTGACAATTTTTTTGATTCCCCTTATATAAGTCAATACTATCTGGCTCACTATTAATATATGCTATTTAATGGAGGAGGAGAAAAGGAAATTGTTTTCCCATCTAATGTAATATATATATAAATCAATGTATGAATGGAAATTGAAATATATAATTAATAAAAAGTTACTTTTCAGATAGATATCCTTCTCTACTTGCTTTTGGCTTGCTTAGTGGTATTATTATACTTGGCCCCAGCTTGCTAAGTATAATTAGTTTGTGGGTTTCCTAATCCAATGTATCTGAAACACAAGTTGGGAATATTTTAAGTGCCTCTCACTATTTTGTAATCTGGACCAGAAAAGACATCAATTTGCTTATTAAATTCTTACTATCATGGAGTGGAATCTTCCCTAAACAATAGATAAAGAGGAGAGAATGGTGTTTGAGGGGTTTTTTTCTATACTTGTTTGACTTGATTTTTAATTGCTTGTTATGTGAAGTGACTTGTACCATTTATGCAACTTGGGGGTTTTTCTTCTTTAGGCCATGCAATCGCTCTCAGGAATAGTGCAAGGAAAATTCTCTGTATCAATTCTATTCAATGGTTGTTTGCTTTTCATGTTCATTGAAGACTAATGACTTAAAACCAGAGTATATTAATGGTTGATTGACATCTTCATATTGCTCTTAAAATGGTTCCATTCCATAAGATAAACGAAATGCTCATCTGATTAAGCTCCCTTATGGTCGAGTATTTCTTAAGTGATTAATTAACTAATAGTTCTTCCTACCACTAAATATGAAGTTTTCCCATATTTTATTTGGGGTTTCAAATTTGGTGGAAAAGCAAGGTCCACCAGTGGTTCTTTCCCTTGTCATTGCATGACTGCATCTGTGGGGGATCGTTTTAACTTTTCTAAAGTACAGCAGAATATCTGTACTAATGAAGCATTAAATTGAATGAGCATCCGATGATATGGAAATATAGAATCTCTTGCATGGTTTTTGCCTGATTAGGTCAGTATAGTCTGGTTTTAATTTCCCAGTCTGAGTGGAGCATCCGTGGACACATGCATGGTCTTAAGGCTCAGTTTGGAAAGAGTACAAAAGCAAATGTATACAAAATAATATAAAATACAAATTTTTGCACTCTACATATTTCTATTTGTACTCCTTCTAAACTGAGCCTAAAATACTCGTTGCTCCAGGTTCTGAGGCCATGCTTGGCAAGTTTTCCATGTGATCTTCTGGCTTTGATAAGTTCAGAAAACCAAAAATTCAGTATTTTTTTTCATTTGGAAACCAAAAGTTGAAAAAGACCGAAAACATTGATTTTTAGAAAGCTTCAAATGAAATTTTCTAATCTTTTCATGTGATAAATAGCCTCTAAATGTGTTTTTAAAAGTCCGATAGACCAAATTATTTACCAAACGGTCTTTATCTTTAAAGACAATACCCCAAAAGTTCAATATATTGTTTGGACATCTAGACTGTTGGAAAATCTTTCTAAAAAGACTTTCCAAACAACACCTGAATTGGTCAATCCCAATCAGCTTCAAATTCATTGGGGGTGGTCACAAGCTGGACCCAGGTAAGTATCCACCATTCACCGTTCAAAAAGCAAATCAATGGCCATCTGAGTTGTGCTTTGAAAGTGATCATCATTAATTTCCTGTCAAGTTTGGATTGTGTTAATTCAAAGATGGCCTAACATTTCGACAAACCAAATCAAGGACCATTGCCCACCTGTGCAGTATATACGGCAGACACAAATAGTTCTTTACCTAAACATTCGTGGTACATAACCTTCCTCCACACATGCTCCAAACTTATTAAAGCACACCAATTAGTCTATCATAATGTACTCCACCCCATTAAATGATAACATAGTTTTTGTGCTCGTGAATAGTGAATGATTGATCCGCACGAGAGAGAGAGAGAGCATGGATCAAGAGCTGATTAAAGAAACTGCACATGAGGCTGATCCAGAGGATCTTACCCCAAGTATTATCTGTACACATACAGAAACCATTGTAGCTGCTGGTTTTAAAGCCTGCAGCAACAGAAAGGGATGCCATTTTGCCTTGCTACAGTGGGTCACTTGGAACATTATAAATAGTAAAAAGTTTTTTTTTTCTTTCTTTTCTTTATCATAGAGTTTATGGGCATAGAAGTATGTCGCGTAAGGAAGGATCATTGAGAAGAGAAGATCCTTGGTAATCATAGAAAAATAGGGTTAATTAAAGTATGAACATGGTAGGAATAATCCACTAAAAAGGAAGCTCAGAATTGGTAGACAACCACATGGGTCACATTCATACTTCCAAATCCAAGCCCACAAAGCAACAGCCTCAACCACAACCACTACTGAAATGAGGATAGATGGAAGCAAGCATGTGCTTTTAATCTTATTTGCACATTATGTTAGGCCAATTATGTCTTATTATGCCACCAAAGTTGAATCTAAGGACACAAGTAAGTTTGCATCATAACCCATTTTGTAACTTTAATTATTTGTACTAGAATATGTTGCCAAACAACAGCCCATAGAGTCAACTGTGCTAAATACAGTCTATAATGTTAATAACTAATTATACTGCTCTTATCTCCATTTCTTTAGTCCTTATATATATATATATATATATATATAGAAAAAGAGTGTCATCAAATTTTGGCTGTTCAAAACCAGACTTCGCTAAAGGATAGTAATTGTTAAAAAGATGAAGGGGGAGGGGCAAAAGAATAGCTTAATGAGATTGTTAAAACGACTTTTGAAATAAAACGAAATCTTATTTTTCCACTAACAACAAAAAAAAGCCTTGTTTGGATAAACGAACCAGTGGCAAGTTTTTCCACATGTTCTTTCCTCTGTCTCCATTCACTGGTAAACTTCAACTCCCCTTGTCACATTGTTAATCGTTCTTTATAATAAATTGAGAGAGAGAGAGAACTTAGGGCTGAAATGGAGTGAGGGAGTGAGCAAATGGCTGATTCAGAGGGTCCCCAATCCAAAAGATGGTATGGACAAGCCATATCACTATTAAACGTGTTAAGAATTGGGTTGGTCTTGCTTAAGAAACAAAAACAGAGAGGGAAAAAAACAGATTGGGACCTTGCAGTTGGGATACAAAGCCGTCCCTATAAAACCAGTCTGTATCGAATCTTAAGCTTGGTTCACAGGGGCTATAGTTCCGACTGTAGAGCTTCAATCCATCCTATTAATCTCCAAGATTGAAGATCCCAACCCAACAGTTCCAGGCTTTCAGCATAGGAAGAGCCTATAGGCTGCTCCAAAGAAAAATCAAAGACTTCACAATGGTTCAGTGAATTTGAACATTGCTGATATTTAACAAATATTAAAGTACATGTGAAGTAGCATAATCATCTGTGGGAAAAATGGAAGTAAATGTCATTCCCATGATCCCATCAATGAGACTAAGGGTGGCCACGAGCTCGGCTCGAGTAGAAAACAATATATATAATAAAATTATAGAAAATAATATATATAATAAAAATATTATAATTCTTAATTTTTTACAAATAAAAAAAATGTTTTCATATATATTTTTATTTTTATAAAACATTTTTTCTTAAATTGAGCTCAAGCCAAGTTCAAGCTCGAGCTTACGAGTTTTTTTGACTCAAGCCGAGTTCAAGCTCAAGGTTCTAGCTCGAACCGAGCTCGAGCCTTGTACTACCTTGGCGAGCCAAGCTCGAGCCTCGTAATATTCGGCTTGGCTCAGCTCGAATCCACCCCTAAACGAGACACTATATGTACAAGGGAAAGCAGATGTTTTTGCCTCCTTGACAGTTTTAAGTCCCTCAACATTCTCAATACAGTGCACATAGACACTAGGAAAGGGAAATTCTATCTGCCGGATTCCTGTTCTCTCCAAGACAAAAAGATAAGGAATCCTCACAAGAAGCCATAAAGAAGATATTTGCCTCTACCCACCTTCGATCCGAAGACAATACCCATCAGGCAGTTATGATCAGTTCTGTAGCGACTCTATGGAGAAAAGTAGACTGGATGGTATTTGCAAACCTAGAGGGCAACAAGCTACTAGGCTTTGGCAAGTCTAGGAATATAAGCTACGAATCTGTTTGTGGAGGAAGATCGATACTTTACTAGTTTATTTACACGGCCATTATTCTTTTTTTTTTCTATACAAAATTAGATCTTGTAGTGTGGCATGGAGAAGTTGTCCAAGGCAAAAGAGAATGTAATGATTAGTGATTATAATCCCTACCTAAGCTGGGATCATTAATTTGGATGTTCACAACAACTAAGCACCGCAGGTAGAAAAAGAGGAAATTCATAAAAGGCCAGTAAGATTCAATGAACTCGAATCGCTTGTATAGACCAAGAAAACTAAGTACCTCTTGCTCTTTTGATTCAAGCTGCAGCCTTGGTATTCCCCTGAAATGATTTTTTTTTTTTTCTTTTTGTTGATAGGTATTCCTTTAAATGATATTTTATAATGTATGTGATGTTAATAAGGAAAAGAAGGGTGTCAAGACTTAAGAGCCATGATAGTAAAACCAAGCTTCACTTAACAATGGATTCCATAAGGCTGGCGCACTTCCTTTATGAACAAGGATAATCTTTTTTTCCTTAGTCCTTACTGTTTTGTAATTGATTCCCAGAGATTTAAGGGGTGTTTGACAACAAACTTGGATCTCCCGGATCTCCTATAACCAAAAATTGTGCACATTGCATCTAGCCACACAATGGAAATATCTTCCACACATGTATTAAATTCATGGGAGAGATGTTCCCAATGTGCGGCTGGATTCTCATGATTGCAGTGTATACAGAGTTTTTACTTGCAGGGGACCCCATCGCTTGGTTGGTTTCAAAAACAAAACCAACCATGTTGTCCAACACCCCCTTAAATGCTGATGCTGACATTTTATCTCAGAGAGGCATGGCTAAGGCCTTATGTACGACAGCTCTTTTTCCTTCCCATTCTTTCTCTTGATGATCGGGCTGCAATTTTGCTGATGTGGTGGTTGTTTTTGTTTTCAAAAGCAATGGGGGTACTGACATTTTAGGGTATGGCAAGGGCATTGTGTACAACGATAGCTCTCCTTTTCCCTCCCATTCTTTTTTTTTTAAATAAGTTAACTGATTTCATTAAAAGAAAGAGGGGGTATGCATATAAGTTCTCAAATTGTTGACAACCAAATACCAAATTTTAGTCAGGAGCAAAGGAAATGCCTATAGGTTCCTATAGGTATAGGGGGTTGGTCAAGGGGTGATTACTTGGTTTAATGGTAAAATCTGGGACTGGCATCCATGAGAACTGAGAATTCAAGTCTGAATACGGCCATTTTGTGCCAAAGAAAAAATAAACATAGGTTAGGACTGTACCTAGTCTACCCCTCCAAGGCCCAGAGCTGGGACCAACATTGGGTAATGGCCTTTTCTTATAGGGGTTGGTCAGACCTAATTCATGCTAAAAAAACAAGAAAAGAAACTAAACTGCTCATGGACTTAAACAACTGTGAAAGGATAAAAGGATAAAGTCCCATGATCAGAACCCAATAGAAAAGTACAAAAATCATGAAAATGCCCCTGCTGCTGAAAAACCAAAGAAGATACAGATGATGCCCACAAAAAAGTGTATGCCAAGCTTCATACTTCCTTAATGAAATATATCCTTAGTATCCCTTTTTCCACAGCCCAAATCATGATTTTTTTATCTTCTTCAACCACTAAGTTGGACAAGAAAAGCTTCTTTGCCCACTCAAGATCTTGAAAGCAAGAACCCTGGTTCTAATGGAATATCCCAATACTAATAGGAACTTCTAAAATCTGAATAATTTAACAATAAACTTCCCCTCTTTCTCTTTCCCTCCCTTTCCTCACAATGAAGTGAAAGATTCCAAAATTTAACCTATACCACCATGTTAAGATCTTTTCAATGTAAGGCACCTGAAAGGTCACCCTCCTCCCACTCTTTGATGACTTCGATCATAATTGAAGACTCCTGCTTCTACATCTCTAAATATTCTATGGTAAAAAAAGTTACAAGAGATCTAAAAACGGGAAAGGAAGTCATAGCACAAAAACATCCTTAGAACAATCTGAAAAGCAAAAATGACAAAAAAAAATAACCACCTTTTCTGAACAAGGTATTGTATTGATCATGCATACTTGCATAGTAGGCATTACTTGACTACTTTTGAAAACTGTAAGCCTAGGGATCTCCAATCAATCATAAATCCCCCATAATTAAGGTGCAATTTTGGCTAATTTGAAGGACCATTCATCAGAAAAAAATGAAATATTATAGTACACAGTAAGAATAAAATAAAACAAAATAAATACATCTGACAGTGAACAAAAATAATAGCAACTCACTATAACTGTGGCCTTCAGGAGCCACTCCAATGTCTGAACTTGCAAATTCCACGGCGTGTTTCGTCAAAAGAGTCACGAATAGATTGCACCATAGAGCGTATAACGGGAAAGCTGGATAATTCTTCATTATGCTCCTGCAAAAGTGGCTAGTCATCCTCTTTTTTCTTCTTTTTCCTTTTCTGTTGGGTGTTTGTATGTGTGCACATGCAAAAGTAATCAAGTACAACAGAAATGTGATTACCAATTCTTTGAGGCGGTCTTCAATTCCCCCCAACTTTGCATCTTTGGGGATGAATATCTTTTGATAAGCCTTCCTCATGCTCTTAATCTAGAACATTTGTCATAAGGAACATATCCTTAATGTTATAACATTTCATAAATAATTCAAAAATAAATACCAAGTGGTAAGTATTCTCTTAGCACACATGAACTTAAAATAATGAACCACCAGGTAGGCTAAGAAAAGAACAGAGATTCACCAAATTCTACTCAACGTCATTGGATATGTTGTATTCAAATAAGAAGTTTCAAGAAACAGACAAGTTTGGGTAATACCAGTATATTAGCAATCAACTTAACCACCAATTATGCATTTCCTTCTCTTAATGTATTATTTATAGAAGAGATATGGCCTTGCATATTTTGTTGCCACAAAAGAAAGTGTTTTCTCAGGTTACATGACAAAATTTTATAAGTTTGTTCACAAATCGCAACCATATAAAACACAAAGACATGAAAAATGTAACCCATATAACATATATGTATGAATACTATTACCAGTAAAGCCATCATTCATACCAAATTTTCCTGTTAATCATTCAAATATATATAATCTAAGTTCTCCTCAGGATGCATAGAACTGTTCTTCAAAACTTCTCATTCCTTGTTGATTATTCTGATTTTCTCATATTCAGAAGATTCTTCATAAGATTCCCTTTGGGTTTCAGGCTAACCATGTTTATACATGTAAATATGTGTATTATATTAATATATTAAGATGAAAATAGAAAGTTGAAGAGAAGAACGAGGAAGGCTAGCCAAGATACAGGAATAAACAAGGTGGATAATAGAAAGAATTCTTTCTTATTTGGATTCTTTACTTGAATTCTGGAAAAATATAATCCCAAATTTTCAATTTCAAGGCATTTCAAAACCAAACTTTAAAACCTTGACTTTATTAATATTTATTAGCATCAGTAAAAAAAAGAACATTATAGCATCGTTAAAAGTGTTAACCAACAAGAAAGTGTAAAAGAAAGTATTCGACTAATAACCAACCTCTTCTGCTGAGAATCCACAACGTCGTAAACCCTCCAAATTTAAGCCACGAAGCTCTGCTCTTTCTCCAGACACCATCATGTACCTCGGAACGTCTTGTGAAACCTTTGGGAGTAAATGGTTTTTTGAAATTATGCAGAAGATAATATAACTCAGAGAGGACTTGACAATGAATATAATTCCTTTTTTTCCAATTCAAGTAGAATTCTTGCCAATTATCAAGCCAAAATACAAGGTAGTGCAGAATTTCATGAAACTTCAGTATACAACAAGAATAACTAACTAGAGACCTGAAGATGCACATACCACAGAACCACCTCCGATGAAAGAAAAAGAACCAATATGACAAAATTGATGAACAACAATGGCTCCAGCAGTGTGGGTATAGTCCTACATAAAGACATTGAACCATCTTTAGGTACAATCGTACAAACACTCTCCCAGGAAAAACTAAATAGAGTAATGTGATCCCATAAATGAAAGGACAAGAAAACATACTTCAACTACAACATGCCCTGCAAAAAGAGTATTATTTGCAAAAATATTGTTGTTACCCACTTTGCAGTCATGTGCAATATGACAAGACCCCATAATAAGATTGTTGTCACCAATAACCTAATAATAAAATGCCAATGACCATAAGAAAATTGTAGAAGTTGAAAAACAAAAGTTCTAAAGTTGAGACTTGGGAATTCATCAATTAACGTCACCCTTCCATACAGTTCTTTCACTTGATTTTGAAGATCGGTGAATTGATGTATACTCTCTAATATCATTGTTGTCTCCAATATCAAGAAAGCACTCATCCCCTGGCTAAAACAGGAGAAGAATAACCATGAGAACTGCTATCCTGCTTCCAAACTAGTTATATATGCTTCTCAATTGAAAAAATAATATTGTAATCATTTTTGAAAGCACGTACTGTAAACAGGTGATCGCATAAGGAATGAAATAAACGAATAGAAATTGTACTTGAAATTACAATCTAGAAAGTTCTCATAGACCTTATCCCAGTCTATATCCAATCTAAACTGACAATGGACCCTTCATCATAAGTGCTCCAGAAAGGAGAAAGGGCAAGAGTGAAAAGAAGACGACTGTTTCATGATCGCAGGAAGAGATTATATGACACTATATAATATTCTTTTCCTATAAGCTTTTATATAAAGATTGGCAAGATATAGTACATTTTTGGATTCTCACCTTCCACACTTCCTTTTATTACTTTTTTTCCTAGTACATTTGTTAGTCAAGATTGCACTTCAAAGAGATGGAGTACCATAAATGACATTTGTAATCTGGTTTCATGTGACACTAATGATGAAGTATCACGCTGGTCCTTGGTACATAAAACCAAATCAAAAGAAAGCAACATAGAGTAGGAGATAGACCAGTAAGATATTTAGGATCTAGGCGCAGATTATATTTGAAAAGCTGTTATTAATGCTGATGTGGTGCATCTGGGAAGAATGCAATAGAAGAGTATTTGAGAACAAAGTCACCTCCTTTGAAGACCTTGGGGGAGGATTCACTCCATTCTTTACTCATGGATGCTGAACCATAAGATATTTAAAGGCATCAATTACAGAGGTATCAGCAGGAATCTCTTGGAGGATTCTTCAAACCTCACATTTTGAGCCTCCTACTAGGCCTATCCTAAGCCCCAGTCCTCTACTGATTTTAAACTCCAGTTTGATGGCAGCTGCATGGACTCCCTAGGCTCCCCAAATACTGCTGGTATGGGTGGAGTCATTCTCAAATCTGAAGGTGATATGACGTGGGGATTTAGTGGGCCTATAGGACAGGTTGATTCTATAGAAGCATAAGAACTCTATCAATGGGCCTTACAGCGGCTAGTCCCTACCTATCACTTCTTTGTCCATTTAAGGAGACTCAAGGAATACAATTGGTTGGGCTAAAAGCACAGGCTTTGGTCCTTGGGGACTAACTCATCTTATCAAATGAAATTAGTGAGGTAATTGTCAGGAGACTGTTATTTGCCGAAGTATAGTACCGCAGGGGTACTCTTGTAATTTTCTTCTTTTATTTTTTTATGTTCTGTCGCCCTAGTATATATATCAAAGCTGGAGCCACCAGCAGTACCTTTTTGGCTCTCAGTTCTCTCTTCTCCCTTCTTCTCTCTCTCTCTTCTCTCTTCTTCCATTCTTCTCTCCTGCATAACATGGTATCAGAGCGGGACTATCAGATCTGAAAAGAGAAGTGGAGTGAACAGTTTTTTCTTCACACCAGATTTCCAAATCTGCCGCCCTCATCTGCTGTTCGGCTGATTGAAGATCTCACGCACTGAAGTAACTTTTCTCTCTCTCCTCCTTTTTTCTGGTCATGTGAAGGCAGAACCTGTACTAGGTCTGCTGATTGGATGTGAGGTGATCAGCACCTCTTTCTTTCCTTTTTTGTGGGGTCAGATGATCCCTGTAAAACTGTAGGTCGTGAGGACCTTTTGTGTGCTGCAACAGCAGCTTTTATGGTGAAMTRAAGGTCAGAAAGTGACCTGTACTTGCTGTAACAATTTTGGGTGCTGCAACAGCAGCTTCTATGGTGAACTGAAGGTCAGAAAGTGACCTGTACTTGCTGTAAAAGTCGTCATGTTGATGTGTAGGTCAAGAGATGACTTGTATGCACTGTGGCAACACTTGTGTTGATTCTGTAGTTCAAGGGATGACCTGTTAGTGCTGTAACAGCACCTGTGCTTTTGCAGAAAGAGGTTTTCCTTTCTCCCTCAGCGTTAGAATTTTTTTAAGGCTGTGTACCCCATTTAAGAGTGTTTTTTCTGAATCTGAAATCATGAGTGGTGAAGATTCTGCTACATCTAGTGTTTCCTCAATGCCGAATGGAATGAGTGGGGGTGTGGACCTATCATTTACCATGGCTGTTATTCCTCTCAATGGCTTAAATTATTTAGAGTGGTCAAGAGGGATCAAACTATACATCACTGCAAGGGGAAAGATAGGTTATATAAATGGGAAAATACAGAACCCAATTCTGGTAGTGCTGAATATGACAAATGGAACCAGGAAAACAGCATGATCATGTCTTGGCTTTTAGTGTCTATGCAACCTCAAATAAGAAGGAATTTTATGTGGGCTGAAACGGCAAATGAGATCTGGGAACAAGCCAAATCAACCTATTTTGAATTGTGTCACTATGCAAAAATCTACCAGTTACAGGCAGAACCGTCCACTTGTAAACAGGGGGAGAGGTGTCTATCTATGTACTACTCAGACTTGACCTCAGTCTAGAAGGAATTAGACCATTATCAGAATGTGGACTGGAAGTGTGATGAAGATGCAAAACTGTACAAAAAACTTGTTTCCCAACAGATAGTGTTCGCTTTCCTACATGGTTTGAACCCTACATATGAATCTATCAGAGTCCAGATCCTAGGTAGCAAGGATCTTCCATCCGTCCAGGAAATTTATGCTCTTGTACAATCAAAAGAAAGCAGAAGGAATTTGATGAACAATTCTGGAGGAGATGCAGTTGTGTTGACAGCAAAAGGGAGTGTTACTACCGGTGGGGGAAATACCTTTAAGAAGGGGGATTTTCAGAAAAAGATGGATGACAAGGACAAAATGTGGTGTACTCATTGCCAGAAACCCTGACACACCCGAGACATGTTGGGATCTTCATGGAAAGCCGAAATGGGCTCAAGATCTGAATAAGAAGCAAGGTTCAAATATGAATAAAAAGTCAGGACAGCAAGATACAAGAAAACATACTATGGCAAATATGGCTACTCAGAGAATTAACCCCCCATTACTACTTTGACTCAAACACATGCCCCTGGATCTAACCCAAAGGAGGATATTATAAATTCCTTCCGTGACCATTTAGAGCTCTATGGTAGAGCAATTCGTCAGATGGATACTCCTCCCTCAACTTCATTTGCGTCTACATCAGGTAACTCTGCCACAGCTTTCCATGTAGCATCTCATACCCTTGACACTCCTTGGGTTATTGATTCTGGAGCGTCTAAAACACATGACTGGTAAGTCCTCTTACTTTCAATCCTATCACCTCCTTTCTGGAAGAGACAAGGTGAGACTAGCCGATGGATCATATTCTACCATAGCTGGTCAAGGAACCATTTCTCTTCCTTTTGGTCTTACCTTGTCTAATGTTTTACATGTCCCAAAATTTCCCATTAATTTGTTCTCTATTAGTAGTATTACTAATTCCTTAAACTGCTCAGTAACATTTTTCTCTTCTCACTGTGTGATTCAGGATCTGACCTCGGGGAAAATGATTGGTAGATGATGTATAGTGGATGGGCTTTACATGCTGGAGAATAAGGCTGGTCTTCAAGTCAAAAAGTCTAAGAGTCAATCTTGTAAGAGTCAGGTCTATTTATGGCATAGTCGTCTTGGTCATTTATCTTTTGAGTCTTTAAAAGTTGTGTTTCCAAAATTGTTTAAATTAGTGTCAGTGTTAGAATTTACTTGTCAAACTTGTCAATTGAGTAAGCAATGTAGAACTCATTTTTCTTCAAAGAATAATAAATCCGAATCTCCTTTCCACATTATTCATTCTGATGTTTGGGGCCCTGTTACTTTACCATCTAAGAGTGGCTACAAGTATTTTCTTACCCTTATTGATGATTACTCCAGATATACATGGGTATATCCCATGCGGACAAGGGATGAAGTACCTAAAATTATCCAAGATTTCCAGCAGATGATCTTCACCCAATTTCAAATTGAAATCCAAATCTTTCAATCGGACAACGCCAAAGAATATTTTCATAGTGATCTCACGAAATTTTTTGCTTCACGTGGCTCACTTCACCGTAGCTCTTGTTCCCCAACACCACAACAAAACGGTGTTGCTGAAAGAAAGAATCGACACCTTCTTGAAGTGGCCCGAGGGTTACTATTCCATATGAATGTCTCAAAATGTTTTTGGCTTAAGGTTGTCCTTTGTGCTACCTACCTTAGGTGGTTAGAGTACAAAGCCCCACATCAGCTTCTTTTCCCTAAGGCTCATCTTCTTCGCATTCCTCCCCGTGTGTTTGGGTGTCGTTGTTTTGTTCAAAATTTGTCACCCACTCGTGGCAAATTAGATCCTCGTGCCATTCCTTGTATTTTCTTGGGGTACTCCTTCACTCAGAAGGGATACCAGTGCTTTGATCCTGTCTCTCGGAAATTTTATGTTTCTATGGATGTCTCATTTTTGAAAGTGAGCCTTTCTTCCCTGTTTCTCCTCAGGGGGAGTGTAGGAATGGAGGAGAAACTAGTTCAGCTCCCTCCTCTTCCTAATCCTCCTCCCTTTCGTGTCTTCTTTCGTCGTCACAAAGGCCAACCATGTTCAAGAGATATGGGGCACCTAGAAGTTGTACCACCAATGCCATCAGACTCTTCGAAAGCAGATCATACCCATTCAGGTACATTGGTCCCTATTGATGCTCCTGACCCTATTGCCATTAACACTTTTGTTGCTAATGACCTTGACCTTCCTATTGCTCATCGGAAAGGTATTAGATCTTGCATCACTAAACACCCAATTTCCCACTTTGTTTCCTATGAAAACATTTCACTCTCCTTTCGAGTCTTTCTCTCTTCCATTGATAGTGTCCCTATCCCTAAGAATGTGGCAGAAGTTCTTTCAGTACCTGAATGAACAGATGCTATGAAGGAAGAAATTAATGCATTACATAAAAATGGCACATGGGAACTTGTAGATCTTCCTGAAGGGAAAGATCCAGTTGGATGTAAATGGGTTTTCATGGATAAACATGATGTTGCGCGATCTGACTACTCCCTGCTGGAGGATGATCCGACTTCCAATCGGGCAGCGAGCTAGGTGAATCTGCAAGACAGCGGATCAAAGAACCCGAGGTGGCTAACCCGGCGAGGTCACTCCAATGCTTAAGTTAGTGTACTGTGGTGCGAGCTGAAAGCTTTGAGAGTTTGAGAGCTAGAGAGTAGAAAAATCACGCGTACCTTGTGTCATTGGGGTTGGTGCCTTTATATAGTTGAGCTCTCGTGGGTTCCGCGGATCGGTTCCGGGATCTTCGTCCTGAGGGAATCCGTTTCCGCTTTAATTGGGGAGTAACGTATCAATTAATAAGGTTTATCAATTCCGCCCGATCCGGGTGGGGAGAAGATTAGGCCTACCGTTACGCGACGTGATCCCGTAAGGTTCGGAGTCTACTGGAGAAACTTCCAGAGTCGTTACGTGGCGGTTCGGGTTGATAGCCCCGAGCTGACACTTCGATTCTTTAGTTCCGAACTGGATTGAATGCCGAGGTGACCCTGCGCCGCGGTGACTCCGTGCCGAGGTGACTATGTGCCGAGGTGACTAAACACCCGAGCTCAAACGTTGCGAACTAATCTTGCTAAGCTGAGTTGTCATCCCTTAGTTAGGTTGTATCCACGTGTCCCCTTCTCGCTAGGTCGTGCCAAATCACCCTTCATCAAAACACAAGGCCGATGGCACCGTGGAACAGTATAAAGCTCGTTTAGTGGCAAAGGGGTTAACACAAGTGTATAGAGTAGATTATGCAGAAACTTTTGCACCTGTTGTTAAGATGAACTCCATTAGAGTCATTTTCTCCCTTGCTGCTAACCTTGACTGGGATCTACATCAGCTTGACATCAAGAATGCCTTCCTAAATGGTGACCTTGAAGAGGAAGTATACATGGTTCAACCCCCTGGTTTTCGGGCTCAAGGTAATGAACAGAAAGTGTGCAGGCTAAAGAAATCATTATATGGGTTGAAACAATCACCAAGAGTCTGGTTCAACAGGTTCCATGTAGTAGTACAACAAAGAGGATACAAGCAGTGTCAGTCTGATCACACATTGTTTGTGAAGAGAGGGGAAGGGCAAATTGCAGCACTGGTAGTATATGTTGATGGTATAGTTATCACTGGTGATTGGAATGATGAAATTCAGAAGTTGAAGAATTTTCTTGCTACCCAATTTGAAGTGAAAGACCTAGGTCCTCTAAAATACTTCCTTGGGATTGAAGTGGCCCACTCACAAAGGGGTATCTTCATTTCCCAAAGAAAGTATGCCCTAGCTCTACTCCAAGATACAGGAAAACTAGGAGTAAAGCCAGTTGATTCCCCTATTGATCCCAACCACAAACTAGGTGACTGTCAGGGTGAATCCATCAAGGATGTGAAACTGTTCCAGAGACTTGTAGGAAGACTGTTATATCTTTCTATGACTCGACCAAACATAGCTTATGCAGTGGGTGTTCTTAGCCAGTTCATGCATGCCCCTAAGACTATCCATCTTGAAGCAGCAGAAAGAGTTCTCAGATATCTTAAGAAGTTCCCAGGTGCAGGCTTGTTATTCCAAAAGCATGTACATTTGAAAGTTTAAGTGTATACTGATGCAAATTGGACAAGATCCCTAAATGACAGAAAGTCAACTAGTGGCTATTGTACCTTCATAGGAGGTAATTTAGTTACTTGGAGAAGCAAAAAGAAGAATGTAGTAACTAGATCTAGTGCTGAAGCTGAATACCGGGCAACGTCTCATGGTGTGGCTAAAAAATTTGTTGGGTGAATTGGGTTTTCCAGTTGACGGACCTATGACACTATTCTATGATAACAAAGCAACCATAAACATTGTTGCTAATCCAATGTTGCATGATAGAACTAAACACATCAAAGTCAACAAACACTTTATCAGAGAAAAGGTCGTCACAGGGGAAGTGTGTACTCCTTATGTCAGCTCTGAAGATCAACTTGCAGACATCTTTACAAAAGGGTTGCACCACTCACGGCATCATGATTTATGTGACAAGTTGGACATGATTGACATTTATGTCCCAACTTGAGGGGGAGTGTTAGAAGACTGTTATTTGTCTAAGTATAGTACTGCAGGGGTACTCTTGTAATTTTCTTCTTTTATTTTTTTATGTTTTGTCGCCCTAGTATATATATCAAAGCTGGCGCCGCCAGCAATACCTTTTTGGCTCTCAGTTTTCTCTTCTCCCTTCTTCTCTCTTTCTCTTCTCTCTTCCATTCTTCTCTCCTGCATAAAAGTAATTTCTCATATGAATTGCCACATTAGGTGGATCCCAAGGGAATTAAATTCTGTGGCAGATGAATTGGCTAAATCAAGTGGGGGAAGGATTTTTTTTGTAAAGTAATAATACATTACTCATTTAAAGTTTGGGTCGTCTTCTTGTATTTTTGGTTTTTTGTCTTGACTGTACATCCTATTGCGTATGCTTTTCCCCTTTCCTTTGGTTTTCAATCCTCTTCCTTGAGAGAGAGAGAGAGAGAGAGAGAAAGAGATCACTACCATGATTGGATTTCCTAGTTCGGTTCCACTGGAATTCCCACCAGTAATCCATCAGTAAGGTATGGTAGTACCAACAAGAGAAAAAAAAAGGTCATTACCCAATGTTCATCCCATCTACCTACAGTCTTGGGGTTTTGGAAGGGGTGGACTGGATATGGACCTAACTTTTGGTTTTTTTACTTTTATTTTTGCACAAAGTGGCTGCTCTCAGAAACCTGCTGTAAAATATGAGTTCATCTCCATTGATGAACATGGCAGAATTAACCACCAAACATGGACCTAACCTTATATTTCATATCCTGGCACTTCACACCAATCACTGCATGATGTCCTATAATGTTATTGCATCCAATGGTTGTGCGCCCTGGAAGATCTTCTCCAACAATAGCACCACTGCTTGACAAAGTTTCAAATAGAGAACAAAAAGTCAGGAAAAACACTAAAAGAAAAATTCGCTAGCAGGGTTGTTCATACTAAGAAAATTTCTTAAAAACTAAAAGGAGAACTTATGTTGGAAAACAATGCTACAAGGAAAATTTTGTTACTTTGCTATATGAAACATTATGCAGGACAGAAGTTACTTGAAAAGCACACATGTTTAAAAACAAATGCAATCTTTGTATGGGTATAAACAAGAGAAAAAAAAAAAATAGAAACTTGAAGCAATATCACACACTCACGTCAAAACAGTACAATTATCCCCCAACTCTGTATCTCCAAAAATATGGCTTCCAGGATATAATTGGCAAGCATTCCCAACTTTTGCATATGACCCAACCGTACAAAAGGGACCAATTGAAACACCCTGAAAATAAATAAAGAAAAACAATGACTCCTGTTTTCCTTATAGGTAGGTAGGATATAGACAGAACCTTGACAGAAACAGGCCTGTTGAGAATATCAAATTACAATTCATGTCAAAAATTTCATAGAAACGAATAAACAAAAAATAACATCCATGATAGTGGTGATAATTATCAAAAAAACAATGATGGTGGTGGTGGTGCATTAACCAATCTGATTGACACAAGCTCACCCTTCCATTATCATTAATCAAAATACTTATTTTTCAAAGTCAAACACTTGAAATCTATAGTTTCCTACTATAAATAAGGCATGAAGCAAACCAATACAAAAGTCAAGTACTCAAGTGTTATACCTCACCATAACCCGCGGGCCACGCCGACCAAATCCATCATTTATTTTCTTATTTTCCTATATTAAGCAAAAAAGAAAAAAAGAAAGAACCAATACGAAAGGATAACCGCAGGAACATGAATCAATTTTCGTATCAGTACTTCCTGGTTTAACTTTCATTAACAGTGGCTCTCAAGAGATGAACGATGAATTTCGGATTTTGAAGTTCTCTAAAGCAAATGCACAAATGAAAAAAATAAAAAATAAAAAAAAAAGAAAAGAAAAGGAAAGAAAAGAGTTTGCTTTTTTACAAGAGACCACTCAACCTTGAATAATTCGATAAAAAAACAGACCAAAACAATTTATATTGTTAAAGTTAATTGCCATATCGAATTTGAAAAAAAAAAATAACAATAATAAAAGGTTGAGAATAAAACGGAAAAGCACAACTTAGATAAATAAGTACCTGACCAAGAATGGCTCCGGGATGTACAACCGCTGTAGGGTGAATGAAAATAGGCTTCTTATCCAACAGATCTTCGCATTTCTTCTCGTCCGGAGCATCTGCATAGTTAAACGCCGGGATGAGCAGACTTGAAGAGAGAGAGAGAGAGAGAGAGAGAGAGAGAGAGAGAGAGGATGTTCGGACTTGTAAGCGATCGGGTGAGTCGTTGCAGTGTAAGCAGCCGTAGAGAGGAATTGAAGGGCTTGAGAAGGAGTGAGGCCATGGCGCCAGCGGGTTTCAAAAGTTCAAAACCCCCCAACCCCATGCCTCCCTTGAAACAAATAACATGTGTTTACATTCAATAACTTAACTAATAATAATATTTAAAAACGATAATTTTATAAATTAATGGAATAAATAACCTATCAATCTATATTTATATCAAAAAACATTTTTTATCTCAAAAAATTTATAGAAAGTATTAAAAATAGAATAATTATTTTAATATTTAAAATTTATATATTTGCACATGATAAGTGTCTTAAAATTATTATATATGTATATAAATTATTAATTAATATTTTAATTTGCACTAGTTAACAACATATTATTATTTACGAAAATAACTACATTGTTTGCAAAATAATCAAAAATATAACATTAAATTGAATATACCAAACCCATTAATCTACATTTTATCAAAAAATATTTTAGAAAATTTGTAAAAATACAAATGTTAATAACAAAATAATTATTATAGTAATTAATAATCATGAATTTTTATATGATATGCATCTTAGAAATTCTAATAGATTTAATATATCTTAAGTTAAGATTATATATTTTTATAAATTATTAATTGATATTTTAATAATAAAAATATATTAATTGATATTAAGATTATATATTTTACATATATTTTGTTTACAAAAATAAAAATATTGTTTATCAAACATTTGAGAATATAATATTTTTTGATTTTTTTGTTAATGTTAAAAGTAAAAATACCAAAATAGAAAATAATTAAAATATAATAGTTTAATGTTTTTTTTGTCTTGGACTTAGATAGAAAATAACATAACAATGGATTTTGTGCATGTATTATTTTGTAAAAATATATATAATATGTGTCTTGGACTCTTGATTGATGCATTGTCAATAAAATTGTAGGTTATATATGCATCTTGCTATAGATACATAGGATATTTTACATTATTGTAAATATCCTATGTATTTATACATTATTTGTGGCTACTTTGACCTTAAATTTAATGTTATTAATGTACTTATGGAATTTGTGTGTGTTTTGCTAGCACATCCAATTATTTCCCTATTTATATGTTTTCAAAGTGTATATATATTTGCATCTAAATTGTCTGATATGATACCAGATACTGATATTTTGATCATTACTTCCTTCTTGCTTGTGTCGTTATGTGGTTCCACACTAGTCTTGTTTGATGGAATAGTTCAACCATTTTATTGGCTGGTGGTTTGTGATGACAAAGGTGCGATTAAATCCCAGGTTTCTAGGTTTGGGTTTTATTTCACAATCTCACAAAGAAGATTCGGGTCTTAGGTTAGCTCATTTAAGTGAGAGTATTGTTCTAGATGTGGATTGATACCAACTTGAGACTTGACCTATAGTTATTTATTTAGGGTTGCATCAAATTGGGTAATTGTAGGGATGGAAAAATGTATTTGCAAAAATTGACCTTACCATTTTGCCATCCCTACAATCCAAACCCTATGGAAAAATTCATGTTGCTGGAAAGACATGATAATGGAAGAGCTTTGACAAATCAAACCACATGACACTTTTATGGTATTGATTGATTGGTTACAAGTTCTTTAGGTATCATAGTTGAACCTTAACTTTATTTAATACATAATTTATAATATTAATTAATTTTCATCACCTAATTAACTCAGTTAGGAGATAACTACTACTATTAAAAAGACATGATGCCAAAAGATCTTTGATCAATCAAAACCCCCTCTATAAATTTTAATGAATACCACCTTAAATGAGTTGGAATAATATCATTGGGCTATTAATGATATCATGTACCCATGTTAAATATAATTGAGTACCACAAAGGCATGATAACAAAAGCAAGTACTTGTGCTAAATATAATTAGGTATTAGGTAGCATAAGATCAAAACCCAAACTTTATAGGATTTTGATAAGTGGGTCTTATTAGGGTTGAGATGGGACAAGTACCTAAGAATTCCCACAAAATTGTCATCCCTAGGCATTTGGATTGGTGCAACTCTAATTGATTGGACAAATCTCTTAAAGTACCCATAAGTTTGAGGACATTGGCTAGCTCTATTCCTACTGTTTACATATTGTCTTAATTTACCCTTAAGTTTTTTAATAATTGACCAAATCCTTTCCTTGAAAAGATGTAAAGGATTATTTTACTCATCATTCTTCTTTAAATTTTTAAAATAAAACATTTGAATAATGCCTTGTGACTCTTCTTGTCTTTCCAAAGGAGAAAACCCTAAAAACTAGAACAACCTCCCCACTCCCGGCAACCCCATCCACCCTTCCGACAATGAACAATGACCCGGTATGGTCCCTCTTTGATCCCATTTATTGTAATCAATCAATACATGCAAGGGTTGAAAAATCAATTGGCGTTCCTATCCTTTTTTCTCTGTACTCCTAAGAATTTGTTTCATGTCTATCGACGTATTGTTGGTGTAGATTTATGAGCTCCCCACTGAAGTTGCATGTGGGTTTTCATGGCCATCCGATTGAATCATGATTCAAGTTCTCAATGATTCCACAGATCCAACCATCAAGGTGCCCACTTTATATTAGACAACCTTGGAGCAGAAAAAAGAAAAGAACATTTTCTCTTTAATTCATTGGATGAGTGTTATAGTTTTTTTCCTGTTTCTAATTTGAGTTTCAGATAAGACACAGCTATCAATTGAGAGGAAAAACCATGTGTGTTTCCCTCTAAACTTTCAGTTTTGATCTGCTTTCATTCTTATCACAGTTCAAGACAACAATGAAAAAGCCGAAACTTCTTTTACATAGTCAACTAAATCCTGATCAACTTGTTAAATGTCTTATACAGGACAAAGTCCTACCTTTTTACAGGGTTTTGGATCTTGAACCGAAGATTCTTTTACAAGGGTTCAGATCTTGAATGGAAGATTGAACTTACATTTTGAAAATATGAAGAACAAAGGAGGGCAAAATCTAAACATATTATGATGGAAAACTAATGGATGTTAATAGAAGAAGAGAATTTAGTCAATTGTCAGAAAACTTAAGGAATACTTTAAGATAATATGTAAACAATGGAGGTAAAATTAGTCGATTTCCTAAAACTTAGAAGTACTTTAAGATATTTGCCCTTTTATCATTTGGATTATTAGGGTGGAAATTAAAGTGGATGGGTGTGGACGAGATACAACCCACCCATCTTATTCACTCCATTGCTAATTTTGATGAATACCACCTTAAATGAGTTGCCAGGATATTATTGGGCTAGTAATGATTTCATCTATTCACGCTAAATATAATTGGATACCAGAAAGAACATGATGCTAGAAGAGCAAGTACTCATGATATAATTGGGTTTGGGTATTAGGTAGCATAAGATCAAAACCCAAATCGGAATTTTTTATGAGGGGTCAAAACCTAAAGTGAATTGGGGGATGGGGGAAATAAATATTGATGGGCCATAGGGGGGCAACCATTGAGATGGGGACTAAGGAAGGGAGAAATTTACATAAAAAAGTGCATTACAAGTAGGTTTTCTAGACCATAGGGAGGGCCATGGCTCCCCTGGGTCCCCCCTATCTCCACCCTTGGGTTTTGATAAACAAGTCCTATTATGATTGAGATGAATCAGGTACCTAAAAATTTCCATAAAATTTCCATCCATAGGCATTTGGGTTGATGCAACTATAATTTCATCATTTGGCTTACCAGGGTGGTAATTAAAGTGGGTGTGGACTGAGATACAACACACCCATTTAATCCACCCCTTATAAATTTTGATGAATACCATCTTAAATGAGTTAGCATGATATCATTGGGCTAGTAATGAAATCATGTACTTGGGTTAAATATAATTGGGTAGCAGAAAGTCATGATGATAAAGAGCAGGTACCCAGTTAATAAATATAATTGGGTTTGGGTATTACATACCATAAGGTTAAAACTCAAGCCCTATAAAGTTTTGTTAAACGAATCCAATTAGGGTTGTGATAGTTTTTAACCAGGATTGTCATAGTTCAAGTACTACATTTGGATTGATGCAGCTCTAGCTTCATCATTTGGCTTATTGGGGTGGCAATTAAAGTGGGTGTGGATTGAGATACAACCCATCCATTTTATCCACCCATGCCCATTATAACCCAAATCTGATCAAACAAATCTTCAACAAGAGAGATGGGGTGTAAATGGATCGAATTCAAATTGAATCAGACAATTAATATTTGATATCCGAATTCGATTTGATATCCGATAGATATTGAAAATTAATATTCAAATTTGAATTTAATTCGAATTTGACTAATTAATTATTTTAGTTAATTAATAAATATATAAAATAAATATTTATTTATATAATATAATTATTATATATATAAATTACATAAAACATTTAAATGTTTTATATATTATATATAAGAATTAAATAATCGGTTGAATTCATATGTTTATCAAATTGAATTATGTCATCCAAATTCGACCAATTAGATATTTGAATTATCCATATTCAATTCAATTATGTCAAATCTCAAATTTAAAATCGATTTTTTCAATAACATTGACACCCTAAAGAGAGACAAGAAAGAGAAGATGAAAAAAAAAAAAGACACCTGTCATTTCCATACATGCCCACTTAAACTTCTCAGTGGCCATCATCAAATCCTATACACACCCACTAAAATTGATCTATATGTGTTGCCAACCTATGTAAGATGGTTGGACTATATCGGTTAGGATCAGAGCTTACCATATTGTTCTACAATTAAGTGTGGATTTTAATGATTGGAGTTCAACTCTCGGGGTTAAAGATGAGGGTTTTATGTATTTAACTATTTATCAAGAAAAAAAAAGGTTGATCGAGGTTCTATATAAATCACTTGTGAAAGGTGGTGTTCGGTATTCAAGAAATAACATGCTTAGAAAAAAACTACAAAATTGTTTTCATACACCACCTAAATCTACCCATCAATTCCAAAAATAGCAATTGGAAATAACAAGACAATTGGGAAGACTGACCTGCGAGAATCCTTCTTTGTCTATTCTTTTAATATTGTTTGAATCTCTATTGTTAGATTCCAACTAAATAAAAAAAAAACATATTAAAGATGATAAATGGTTTTTTTTTTTCATTGGTTTATATTTCACATGTGCCATCTCACTTAATCCATTTTTTTAACAGATCTCCTACTGGCTTTTGAATTAAATCATTGAGAATAGAAAGAAAAGGAGAAAGAAAAAAAAAATCCCTTTCTAAACATCCATGGACACAAGCTGAGAGGCTGAAATCTAAAGCATTTGGTTTTCAAACCATTATTTGGTTAGCTCGATGATACTAGGTACTACTATACCTGTTCATGTTGAAAAAATAAACTACACCTCTTCATGGGCTTGGGAGCTGTGTGCTCGGGCTCAGGCCGTAAGTCCGATTATTTTTGGGGCATATTTGGACCTGCCCGCTTCATATTCAGAAGAATCCAGATTCAGTCCTAACAAAATATGTCCTCACAATACTTTCAGCCATGCATTTAGAACATCTCTCCATGAATGAAAAAATATAAATACAGAGATATTCCAAATGTACAGCTGTAAGTGTTGCAAGGACCGGGTGAGGACAATTTTTGTGAAGACTGAATCCAGCTTCGAGTTTTATATAAGAGCTAGGCTCAGATTCAAGAAAAGGTTTGATGATTGGGCCTGGCTCAGGCTTGAACCTAAACATTTTCTGTTGATAAGTGGTAAAGCCCAGCTAGTGAACTAGGTAATTGTAGAAAGTAAACTGTTTATCGTGCAAAGACACGAACTTGGATCCGCTTCGCTGGTTCAATGGCTCTATTGAACAGGTTACCCAAAACCAAGGTGAAGGCGTGAAGCCATAAAGAGATGCAGTAGTTCATTTATTTAACAGTTTAAGTGGCACTTGATTCATTTATATATCAACCATATCCAGCATCAACATGTAGTTATAGTTAGTTCCTTGGATCCTCATCAATGAATTACAAACTGCAATTTCACGACTATACATGCAAAAACCTAGAAGGCGTTGAATATAGTAAGATACAAGTATTGCGTCTAATATGTTACGATTCCTACTGTTTAGGGATCATCCTCACATGAAGCCCTCCTTGCCTTTTCTCTCTCCCAGTAAACTGACCTAAGTGCTTCGTAGGAGAGATTTCCACTTGATCCTTCTGATATCGGGCCACTGTAAGATTGCTGTTGCTGCTGCTGCTGCTGCTCTGCCCAATTTCTTCCACTTCTGCTTCCCGCATCATACCCAGGTGTCGACATGTAATTTGAATCCATGACCATGTCACCCTCCAAGATACGAAGCACCTTTTAGGAGAACAAACAAGAAGAAATTTGAAACATTAGGTGAAATTCATTTATGATGATCTAATGATATTTCTTTTTCAAGGCATAACAAGGGAGGGATTTGACATTATGTCTTAACTCTTAAAAAAATGGTATAACCATAGTCCTACTGAGAAGAATTTCAACCAGTCCTACTGACTTTTTTTACGTCCTATAGTCCTTTCTTTGATGACAGAAAAATGAAAGGTATGAGTTTCAATAATCCAGTTTGATCATCATAGAAGCACATACTTTGAGAATAACAAATCAAATGGTTGGTAATACATCTCCCTGTAAAACAATCCGTACAACCATTTTGATAGGACCATTTTCAGTCTTTTTCAACTGGGATAACTTTGGCAAATTAGCAGCAAAAATTGACTCCTTGAAGGATGGGTGCCAATCTCTCTTACCTGAGACATACGAGGCCTTGAATGGGGATCTCGTCGGATGCATAATGATGCAGCATGCAGCATGCAATAGACTTCCTGTTCTGAATAACAATTTTCCAATCGTGGGTCCACAAGTTCATCAATTGCATATTCTTCCAGTAAAGGGCGTGCCTGATCCAAACGTATAACATTAGTAAATAAAGATCATAAAAAGAAGAAAAGAAATAGTATCAGGAGGAACACAATGAACTAGAGGCTTTCTTTTATCCCTGAATATAACCTCCTATTTTATTTGACGCCACTAAATTCTAATTTGTCCATCCATGTATATGTAAACAAGAGTTATTGGCCTAATACCCATTCAGTAAGGCACTGCTGGCCCTTAGGCCGGTTAATGTCAACTGCTTTCCGTCCTGTGACAAGCTCCACCAATACCACTCCAAAGGAATATACATCAGCTTTTTCTGTAATTTGGCCACTTTGAGCATATTCTGGAGCCAAATACCTAGATAGAAGCAAAATAGCAAGTCAGTTTCCCCACTGCTTGTTGGCAGCCAAAATTAGGAATAAATCCATCTGAGTTTACCCAAATGTTCCAATTACTCTTGTTTCCACACCCATGTCTCCATCAGGTTGCCATCTTGCCAGGCCAAAATCTCCAACCTTAACAAACCAAAAGATTGTATCAGTCAAAAAGCCATTTTTTGTTGCATTCTTTGATTTCTATTGTCAAGTTAATACTTAAAAATCTAGCAGAAAGTATTTCATCGTCTAGAGGATTTTCAACTTAGATAACTTTCCAAAACAAGCAACTTGAGGGTATGAACTAGAATTTATGTGAGAAACATTAAATGATGAATCCTGGCTCTCCAAATTGCAGCTCTTGGCAAGTAACAAGTGCAAGGGTTCCAGACCACAAATGCAGGTCTTACATATAGTTCCATTAATTAACTATTAAAAAATATAGTTCTATTCTTTCATTTATAAATAAAGTCGTCAAATAAATCATAACTACAATTGAGATGATCGAAAAGGAAATGTAATTAATATATGTTCCAGAGTCAAAAATATCATAAAGAAATCCTAAATAAGGTCCCTTGAGTAGAAAATGGATCACAAAGGGCAGATCCCATAGCTAGTCTCCAAGGAACTCCTGTTCTTAAAAGTACAATAGTAAATAAATCTTTAAAAAAGCGAGCTAGTGAGTTCTTTCAAATTAAGAGGTTATAAAATATTGATAAAAGAATGCTCACACATTCAGATCAGTCAATGAAAACAAAGGCATATTGTCATACCAGTGGCTCAAAATCATGGGTTATGAGGATATTGTTTGGCCGCATGTCACGGTGGACAATGCAACCCACTCTGCACTCTTCATGAAGGTACCGCAACCCCCTTGCAGCTCCAACTGCAATTTTTTGTCGTGCAGACCATTCTAATGGATCTCGATTACGTCCTGAAATTTACCAAGAACTTTTGTCAACAACCTTTTGAAGACAGTAAAAAACATTTGGCAACTTCCAATGGTAAAATATTCTTAACATACAATTATTCTTACAAGGTTCCATGGGAAGGAGATAATTTTCCAAGAACTTTTGTCAACCTTTTGAAGACAGTAAAAAACATTTGGCAACTCCCAATGGTAAAATATTCTTAACATGCAATTATTCTTACAAGGTTCCATGGGAAGGAGATAATTTTGTGTTACTTTTAGCACATTAATGTAGGCACGAGCTCATTAGTATCTTAGGGCAGAAATTTTCATGCTATACGTGTCCTATAATTGAAAATGGTTCAGATAAGGACTGGACAATGATGGCAACACCATAACCAAATAGAAGACTTAACATGGAAAGCTTAGTAACTTTTTTTTAATGAATATCTAAGAATATGAATTCTTTTCTTTTTTTCATGTTCCTATCTTTTTTGTCAATTCCATTTTATTTTAGATATATCAAAGGCTTCACATAAGAATCAAAACCTGGAGCACCTTAACACTATCTGCTGTCAATCAAAGGAGGTTATTCTGTCATGATTATATTTTCTGGGTTTTGTTAATTCCCATAGATTTAGGACCTTTTACAAAAGAGCAAAATATGACTTGCAAATTATTGGAGTACAAGTCAATTTTCAGAACATACACATTGTTGGGAGAACACTTATTTCTTAGTCCTTTATCTGCAATCAAACACAAAAAATACTTGTCTTTAAAACAGTGACTCCTCTCCAGAGAAAAAATTAAGCGCCAATTCCCTTCTTTCATGTGCAAACAAATGGAGATTTAGTGCATTTGGATTATCTTAGTTTTAAACTGTTTTAGCGAAGTGTTAGTTTTAAACTATTCTAGAAAATAGATAAAATTTTAGTGTGTTTGAATAATCTTAGTTTTAAACTCTTATACAATAGATTACAGAATAATTACCATAAAGGTGAGAATCCAGAGATCCATTGCAAATGTATTCATAGACCAGCAGCCTTCTTCTGTCTTCAACACAGAACCCAATCAACATCACAACATTCCGGTGCTGTGCACAACTTAGAACTTCCACTTCCGAGCAAAATTCAAGATCCCCCTGAGAACTAGCAAGCTTGTGTTGCTTGACTGCCACTGCCTGGCCATCTGGTAGGACCCCTCTATGGACTGATCCAAACCCACCTTCAGCCAAGAAATTTGCCTGTGAAAATCCACCTGTAGCAAGTTCTAGTTCAGCATAGCTAAACCACCTTGGAGGTTTTCCAAATACAGGTGCTTTGTGCTGACATATTGAACACAATGGAGGTGGACCTAAAGGTGCACTTCTGGATAGTGAAATGGCTTCTCTAACATTTCCACTGAAATCCAGATCTCGCCTATAATTCAGCATTCCAATTCCAGCTTCTTGATCAAGTTTGGAGAATTTCTCCAACAAGGCTTTGGTTGTGGAATTCTGAACATTATCATTTACCTTTTGTTGGTTTTCCTCAACATGTTTTAAGGAGTGGCGGCTAGAAGTAAGAAGTTCTGCCATCCAGAAACCTGAACTCAATGAAGGTGAACTGAGATTGTCACTATCTGTATCAGAGCTGGAGTCTTCTAGATTTCGGTTCTCCTTTTTTATTACAGAGTCATCTTTTTTCAGACCCCCATTTACTTCAGAAATGAAAAATGGAGAGGTTCCTGGATCAGAGCTTGAAACAGAGGATGTTCCAGCTTCAGTTGCAGTGAATGGTGTCCCTAACTCTGGACTACTATTTGGAGTCACAGCTGGATCTTGGATGGAACTCAGAGGATCACTGCTCTTTATTGGATGTTTTTCTGGTGCCACCTCTAACTCAGAAGGTAATTTGCATGCTACTTTAGGTTCCTTCTTTGGTGATCCACCTAAATTAAGACGAAGAACTTTTGGTTGGGACCGCTTCATAACTACAATGTTGCATTGCAGCTCTTCCATGCAGCATTTCTCCTCATGTTTTAGCTGTCTGTAAAAGGAAAAGCGAATATGAATGCCAGACCAAGATTAAGACAATAGCTTGAACAAGAAGCAACAGATGTCAAAGCAACAACACATGCAATCAGATCCCATGGTTCCAAAGTCCCAACAAATAATAATGTTTCACACTATATTAACTATAAAAAAATCAATGTTTTACACTATATATCTATTTATTACTTGTCCAGTACAACCCAGCTAGCTTGAGCTCTCTTGGCTTCTGCAGCCACTGCACCACACCGTGATCCGGAAACAATCTTGATCCTTACATTGATCTAGCAAACAAGTACAAATCAACCGTCAAGAATCAAGATAGCATGTAAAGCACAGAATGTAGGAGAACAAAGTTAAACACTGACATTGTTTGGATCATAAACATCATGGAGTTGAAGCATCATCTGGGAGCAGGAATCAGTAATATCAGACTTCTGCTCTGAACTGGTCCCTGAGTGAGACCTCCGGTGACCACTTGCACAATCTCCAGAAAATCTTGGAAAACCCCATAGCCTTCTACCTGTAAAACAGAATATAAGTATCCTATTGGTCATTGGTATGATCTGCTTGCAAATTAACAAAGAAACTCAAATACTAAAAAGAATAAAAAATCAAATCCACACAAACAATTGTTCTCTTGCGTTCCAGGATCTATAATGAGAAAAATCAGGACTTCGTACTGGGCAATCGGGCTTGACCAAACCACGCTAGTTAGCGCACCTTGTCAGGCATACGTAAAGACGGTATATGTTTGACATTCCCATCTTAAAGTCAATTTTAAGGTTAACCATAACACGTAGGCCCTGATAGCCCAAGGCACGAATATAGCATGAAACTGAAGAAAACTTTCCCCATGTTTCAAAGATCATTACAGAAGTCCATGGATATTGATAAGAGTAACAGATGCCAAAAAACAAGCCGTGGCAGGCCAGCCAGTTCCATCCCCTGTTCTTGAGAAGGGATCTATCAAGAAACCGTTTCTCTCACTTTACAGAAGAAGGTGAAAGCAATGAGGAGGAGAGAGAATAAAAGAGAAGAACTTGGCTAACAATCATTGAGAACACAAAATTATCCAGATTTATCAGAAAAAAACGTGGAACAACAAGACATAGAATATGGTACCCGAACTCTGAGCAGAAACTACCACCAACAGCGTTATACAGTCTCCAGGTCGAACAACATGAGTCAATGCCCACACAAGCGCAGTTCTCGGGACTTCTTTGGACGCCTTGACAGCAACGACGACCTTCTCGGCGACATCCGAGACTTTGTCCTGCTTCCCGCTCTTCTGTTGCAGAGTCATCAGACCCACTAAGTTGCAACTTCAATCCTTGTTCAACAGACACAGACCTTCAAGTCCATCAAAGAGAAGGTGCTTTCTTAAAAGAAATAAGCCCGAACACAGAAGATGGTGAACAAATGAAAACAACAAGAAATCGCATTACTGCTTTTTCCTCGCCAAGTGATCAGATGTGAAAACAAAACCCTAAAAGTGACTACTGTCTTTTCCAGTAATAGCAATCACGGATGACAAGACGCTTTTAACCTGCGCAGATGAAATGGTCACTGAACGCAGAGTGAGGAACGGCACCTGAGGATGCTTTTACACAAGAGAGCTATACCTCTGCTTAATTAATCAAAGGACCTCTACCTTTTCTTCTCTTTTCTTCCGCGGAACCCTAAAATGCTCAGCGGATTGAACTTTTCCCTTGCCTTTATTGATCCATCGTAGAATCATGCATGCATATTCCACACATGGCAACAGCAATCTTAAGTGGATCTTCAGGAACTTTTCTCCAAGACCTTGTAAAAACTAAAAATTTTGGAACGGAAAACTAGAGGTTTCCAGCCAGACCTCCTCTGTTTAAGTTCAATGGAGCTTCTGAAAAGGGGTCAGAACTCAGAACAACTGTTCCTCATAAAATGTACAGTGTATTGTACAGGAGAAACGGAACAAGCAAAAGCAAATCTCACTATCTTCCGTAATAACGGCGTCCAAATCGAACCTTCAAATGACAAAACTAAACTGTGAAGTAAATTGAACTTCAAGAGCTCGGCAGAGGAAATGAGGTAGTTTCAGATTAAAGAAGAAAACGAGGAAACGACTATCACAGGAATCATCTACAGGAATTCAGCTTGGCATATTCATGTCCAATCAGGACGATCAAATCACGGAAATGTCATGGTTGAAGGCTTAATAATGCTGAAAGTGACACCGGTATCCTAGTAACGGTTCTTCGAAGGTGAAGATCGAGTAAAGCTCTCAAAGCCTAAAACGATATAACCAATTGAAATTCCAAAATAAGATGCACAGCTTGCCTCAGCAACGTTAAACAGACCAACGTGAGAAACTCCAAATTCAATATCATCGTCAGGACAAAAGGGAAAGCATAATTTCAGAATCTTTAATTTAACCCCGCGAATCAGAAACACGGAAGCTCTTCCAATTGACAGAATGGAGCAATTTCCGAAGAGGAATCCAGAAATCTTTCAAAATTCGAAGCCTAACAGTACAGAATTCGACTACCGCGATGGAAGAAGCACCAATGAATGCCAGAATCTCTCCGAACTCGACCAGTCAAATCTATATCTGCACCGCTCATCAATTCAGTACTAAAAAGATATACTAAACGAGGTTCAAACTTCAAAACGAACAGAACAAGTCCAAATGGAATATAAGAACCACTGTCGAGACGGATTGCTACAGTATCAGCAAAGCCAAATGACATTAATCTGCCTAAATTTTATCTCCGAAGACCTCCGATAGCAAGGCCTTAGCAGAGTAGTAAGCAGACCCAAATTCAAAAGAAATCAAAATCCAGCTCAGTACAGATGTGTTGTTATCGAAATCTGTCTCGCCCCTTTTGAATTCAACCACAAATTTTGAAACCAATAAATACGGAGATGAGAGAGAGAAGCGCGAAAACGAGAGAAAACAAGGTTTTGAACCGCCTCAGCTGCTATGAGACAAAATTGAAAGCAAGTTAATTAATGTCTTCCCAGCTTGAGAGTTGAGTTGAGAAGACATTGCAAAACTCATCCCCATTCCCAGCAGCAGGAGGCAGGAGGCAGGAGGCAGGAGAATTTACTGCTAATGTACCCCTCATTTTAACCGAAATTTCAAGACTACTTACTTCCAGTGTAATTGAAGGACGTGAGGTCAATTCTGGTAACTTATTAGATTGGAACAGACTCATCGCTAGATTTACTATTATTCCAATCCAACAGCATGCAGAGACGAATTGTAACTGACTCATCTGATTCTATTTTTCAACTGACATAAAAAATAAAAATAAAAATAATCGTGGCTTTCACAAATCAGAATCACAACCTGCTCAGGTTAGCACTTGGCAGGACTTTCAAGAAAAAAAGGGAGAGCGTCAGAGAGAATCGAACCAGGAACCAAAGTTACTGTTACCACCTGTAATACGTTAGTCAGGGTTCTCACAGGTTCAGATAATAGGGAAACCGCCGCTGGGACCCACTGGCCGTTATTGATGTCCGTCGAATTAGCTGACCAACTGATAGACACCACACCAGAGAACTGCTGCCTGCTGGAAGGCTGGAAAGGACGTCAAGTCCTACGCCCGTCAGTGACTAACGGCGATATCACCCTGAACCGGTGAGGGTCGGCAGAGGCCCCCTGCCTACGGGTGCAAATGGATCGATCCGAGATCCGATCCTATTTCATCGAATTCGGATCACTGATCTTATGAGATAATAAGATCCTATTCGGATTTGGATTATAAATATATATAATACATATATATTATTTATTTATTTATAAATATAGACATATTTTTTATATTATGCTTTTATAAATTTGTTATATTATTTATTTTTTTATAAAAATATGTATATATATATGATGAAAATAATTAAAAATACTTGTATTCTTGTTTTAAATTTATTTATACTAATATATTTTATTTTTCTTTTAATAATTTATTAATATTTACAAAAAACAAGTTGGATTGGATCATATCCAAATATCCAATTTACTGATGGGATTTGAATTCAAATTGAGTCCTATCAAATCTAATCGGATTAAAATACCAATCCATTTTCATCCCTACCCCTGCCCTTAGGCTGGGTCTGTTGACAACACACGAATTGGGACATGCTCATCACAGAGCGCTCCTCACACAAACCTAACAACTACATCCCACCGTCTATTGGAAACATCTCTCATGAGTAATATATGCTGTTCCAATGAATAATATATGCGGTTGGAACATGCTATGAGGTTAGTATGAGTGGGTTCTAGCTTAGTCAAGCGGAATATCCAATTATATGAGATTGGTTGGCCAATAAAGTACTTAAATTCAAGCTAGAGACTTGAGTTCGAGTTGGGCTCAAGTCAAAACTCAAAAACTTGTAAGTTCAAATTCAACTCAACCCAATCTAAATGTTTTATAAAAATAAAAAGTACACATATAAAAATTTAAGAGTTGTAAAAACTAGTTATCATTAATTATTATATATATAATATTTTTTATTTTATTATATAAGCTCAATTAAACTTGTAAGTCTCACGAGTCAAGCATGAATAGCTCATAAAAAGCTCAACTTGTGGCCACCCCTACAGGTTGGTGTGAAAAGCATTCTATGAGGAGCAGATCTAGCCTCACAAGTTGAGCATGAATAGCTCATAAAAAACTCAATTCATCGCCATCCTTAGAGGTTGGTGTGAATAGCATTCTATGAGGAGCATATCTAGACTCCACGACACATTGTTTGCCATGTTCATCCAGTCGCACATATAGAACATTGGTTGTATGTGGTCATTGATATTCTAGATGTGCAGGTTGGATGAGCATGGTTAGTAATGTGTTGTGGTCAAACAAATATGAACTCGTTCGACTAGGGGTGTGCAGATGGATTTGATCATGATCTCAGATCCCTATTTGGTTGAATTCAAATCACCCATGTTCCGATCTTCTGATCGGATTGGGTAGGATCATGGGATCCGATCAAAAATCGAATCACCCCTATTCGATATGAGAAGATCTGATCCAATATATACTATAAAAATATAAATATAAATTTGTTATATTATTTATTTTTTATAAAAGAACATGTATATATATGATGAAAATAATTAAAAAATACTTGTATTTTTTGTTTTTACTTTATTTAAATTAATATATTTTCTTTTTCTTTTAATAATTCACTAACTTAAAAAAACAAGTTGAATCAGATAAGATTCGAATTCAAATAAAGTCTTATTATATCCGGATATTTGGATCGGATCAGATCCGACATAAAACAGTGTCAAATCCGATTAAATCCATTTGCATCCTACGTCCGGCCTCTCCCATGATGATGAATAATTTAATAATTTAATATAAAGGTAAAATATAAAACTTTCTTTAAAGTTTCTAACAATCATAATAACCTCTTTACCATCATTGTTGTTTTTTTAGTAATAGAGATTTCAAAGTTATGAAATTGCCATACTAAGGTATCTTTCAATATAAATTACGAGAATATCTTTTAATATGATTCAAAATGTTAGATTTTTTCTCAAAAAAAAAAAAACGTTTTTGTAAAGTAAAATTATTTTATTACTCTTTTCAATTTGAACACGGGAATATTTTAATTAAAAGTTGAAATTCTTTTAGGGTATTTTAAAATTTTCACCTGAATTGATAAATATAAGGGTATTTAATAGTAATGCATTAATTCAATATTTCTGTTCAGGATAATAACAAAAGTCAAAAGGTGAGATAATTGCAAATTTTTTCCAATTTATAAGGGAAGTAAAAACCTCAAAAGAGATTTTTATGATTATGAGAGAAAATTCAAGGGAGGTTTTATAATTAGTCTAAACTCGTCCAAAGACATTGATGGCTGGATCTGATCTGTGTCTCGGGTCTCGGCCTTGGAAACTGTGGGTAGGCCGCTGGCGCTCTGTCGAAGTTTTGACAGCTGACATTTCCATACTTTGACGGCACCCGCGGATCGTGTGCCCCATCCGACCGTTCGAAATCAAAGGGTTCGAAAGAATTGATTGATTACAATATTATGATCTCTCGAGTCTCGAGGCGTAAAAAAATGTGACGCATGTGAGACAGTGTCGCACAGGCCAACACTTTCTCTTCCTTATTTATCCAGATTTTTATTGTCGTTGCTCGTTGGGTGTCTGTCAGTCAGTCAGGGTGTCTGTATCTGTCTGTCTTGTGTGGCTTTGGGCTTCCCAATTCCCAAATCTCAATTTACGTGAAGCCAGGATGACTGTCGCGTATGTTAGACCAGAGATTAGACCAATTTAATCATAGTTAATTAAGCTTGTAAGCACTTAATTAATTATTATGAATAAACAATAATTTCTGATTTGTGTTTTAATGATATGCAAGTAAACTCACTAACATCCACGCCCAAGACCAAAACGGTATTTCGTTTGCTTGCTGAGAAAAAAAGACAGGAGAGAGGGACAACGACCCAGATTTTTTTTTTGACAAGTACGACCCAGATTTTTATGGGATTGATTAATACTCAATCGCTTGAAATTTGAAGCTTATATTATATATATTATATATGCGACCAATCTAAAGTGCAATTACCTAATTCAACTCAATTGCACCCTTTAATACCCCAAATCATTCAACGATACACTTGATTCAATTCTGTTATCGATCTATCTGGCAACCTCTTTAGTTTTAAGATAGTAAGGTCTAGGGTCTTGCATGTGCGTGCGTTGTATTCATTCATTCATTTCATATTATAACGACGGTTTATTTATGAAGAACATTTAATTATCAAGTTCGTTGGATTTATTTAACACTATGTTATGTATAATTGTTAATGTGCTATTCATGAAATGAATTAGAAACCAATGATATTCGTTTTCTTTTGCCACAATCTGGTTGGCAATTTGCTTTTCACCCGATAATTTAGGAAACCATATTATTATTATTATTTGCATTGGAAGCTTCGTATAAATCAGTTTTGTCTATGTTGAAAACTTTAGGCTCAGTTTGGAAGGAGTATAAATATAAATATATAGAATGTAAAACATTGTATTTTGTATGTATTTACATTGTACATATTTATATTTGCACTCTTTCCAAACTGAGACTTAAATGCAAAATCCTCGTGACAGGTTGCCTAAACAACTCTATGGAGCACTGAAGGAAATGTATTTTTTTTTTAGAATTTTGGGGACCTTAATATATAGTTGATAATATCCCACATCATATTTGAGCCCCACATCACATGTCAACTGTGTATTGAGAATACCCCCCCCCNCCACCACACCCCCACCCCACACCCCAACGTGGGAATGGCCGGAAGTAGATAATTGGGCCCAACCCAATTTAGAACCAAGGCAATGGTAAGAGAAGGTAAAGAACTAGTAGGGAGTCAGGGGATAAGAATATACTTATTTAGAGCTTAATGCTATCAAAAAATGGATATTTTACCCTCATATAAAATCAAACACAAATATGCCAGAAGATACAGTTCCTTTCATTATCTTTCTCTCTTTCTCTCTCTCTCTCTTTTTTTTTTCTTATTTTCAAATGTTGTAGAGTAATTCAATTTGATCTGCCTCTTCCTTTAGATATAAGAGCAAGTGAACCCAAGTATTGAGATGAAATTTGGTAAATTTGAACTTTGATCCCTAAAAGGCAAAAGTTTTGATAATATATATATATATATATTAGCATAGAGCTGTGAAAATTGCTTCTCTACCTTTTCAAATGCTATAACTCATAAGAAAAGGCTATTACACAAATTATTCATTCATCAACATAAAATCAATAATAGTAATATATTATTAATTACATGTACAATAACTAAACAAATCATTATTACTTTCTTTCATTTGCTTACATATTGGATCTGCTCATAAGTTTCATCATTTCTTATCCTATTGTTTCTAATTTTTCCATTCATCAATTTCAATATATTTATTTTTGTCACATTCATTTTTTGATACAAGGTTTTTAAAACCAAAACGAATAACAAACCGTTTAAGGGTCTGGTTTTTGGGTCGAACGGTCCAACCGTTTGAATCTAATGGACAGCCCATTCTGACAAAAAATAAAAAAATAAAAAAAATAAAAAACGA